ATGAGAATGCATTTTTAACAAGAATCCCAGGTGACTGTATGCACATTAACATTTGAGAAGTGCTTGTTTAAAAAATGCATTTGTTGCCCTGACCGGTTTGGCTCAGCGGTTGGAGCATCGGCCTGCGGGGACCAGAGAGTCCTAGGTTCAGTTCCCGCTAGGGGCACGTACCAAAAAAAAAAAAAAACCTCAAAAAAAAAAAAAGATGCATTTGATAGTCCTGGTCAATTTGGCTCAGTGTTTCAGGTCTCAGCCCACAGACCAAAGAGTTGCAGGTTTGATTCCGGTCAAGGGCACATACCTCAGTTTTGGTTCAGTCCCTGGCCCTGGTTGGGGTTGTGGAGGAGGCAACCAATCGGTGTATCTCTCTCACATTGATGTCTGTCTGTCTGTCTCTCTCTCTGTCTCCTTCTCACCCTCCCTCCCACCCTGTCTGAGGATAAACGGAAAAATATCCTCTGGTGAGGGTTTAAAAAAAAAAGCATTTGTTAGCCACAAATTTAGGAAGAGTGAGGAGTGAGAACAAATAAAAATGGGATAATGGAGTTCCCTTAAAAGGGAGGAATATTTGAGTTTCCTTAGGTTGGGTCAATCACTGTAGTCTTTGTTTTTCCCAGGGTCTTAGGGTCTTGGAATACAGAATTCAGCAGGTAATAAGATGTGATAGGATACAATTAATGGCTGGTGCTGTTGTGTTCAAGAAAAATAAGGCTTTTCTTAGTCGATGACAGGGAGCAGAAGAATGGGTCTTATCTAGCTTCTGACCTGGGAAATGGCAAGAGGGCTCTGGCGGCTTGGAATTCCTGGGGGTGGGATGGGAGATATCGGTAGGGACCGGTGTCAGCCTCACTGACATGTGTTTGTATTTGCCAGTGACATTGCCCGCCACCATCATGACGTCATCTGTGCCCACAACTGTGGGCGGCCACATGATGTACCCTAGCCCCCATGCGGTGATGTATGCACCCACCTCGGGCCTGGCTGATGGCAGCCTCACCGTGCTCAATGCCTTCTCCCAGGCACCATCCACCATGCAGGTGTCCCACAGCCAGGTCCAGGAGCAAGGTGAGTTGGGGGGCAGGGCTGAGGAAAGGAGGACCATTGCTTCACACGCATACACACACTGAACCCACCCCCCCACCCCAATATGTATGCCCACACACACACCAACTAGGATGCCCACACATGTTCCTACACATACACACACAGGGATACTTGCACATACACTTTGGTACCCATGCTTGTCCACTTGGACACTCATGCACACTTGAACACTCACATTCACACCCATACACACTTGGACACTCACCCTAGGACACTTTTCTGAGACTCATTCGGTCATTTGTGCATTTATCAGCCTTGTTCCAATAGCTGGAAGTTTCTCTTGAGCAAGCAGTTTGAGTATCTCCTGTTTTCCAACGCAGGTGGTGTACCCCAGGTGTTCCTGACAGCTCCATCTGGGACAGTGCAGATCCCTGTTTCTGCAGTTCAGCTTCACCAGGTAGGTGGCAGCCCCTTTCATCCCATCCCACCCAGCCAGCTACTTCTTTATCTTGACCTTGGGGATTCCATTACCGTCTGGTCAAAGCTCAGATCCCTAGCCAGGAGCCCTATCTGTTTTCCTGGTCAGACCTGTGGTGGGCAGGCAGGCAAGCAGGAGGAGCCTGAGCTGGCTGGTGAGTTCCTGCCCTGTTTCCTTACGCACCCACTTCCCTCCAGATGGCTGTGATAGGGCAGCAGGCCGGGAGCAGCAGCAACCTCACCGAGTTACAGGTGGTGAACCTGGATGCCACCCACAGCACCAAGAGTGACTGATCCGCCCTGCCGCCCTGGACAGATGGCCCAAGGGACGGCACCACTTATTTATTGTTGCCTTTTCACGTTTTCTTTACACACATGTTGACGGGCCGCAGGAGGGAGGAGGGGAGGAGCAGTGGGCAGCCACAGGACTGAGCCCTCTCACTCCAGCCAAAGAAATGGGCCAGCCTACCCTCCACCCCGTCCTCCCTCACTCTCCCCTCCTTCTGGCTCCACCTCCCATTTCTGTTGAGGGTGAGGCCCTCCCTTCTCAGACTTCCCTTGCCAGCTTGGCTCCATGTTTGCCATGAGTATTAGCTTTCCCAGTGGGACCGTGCCCCACCTTCCCACAACAGATCTCTGTGGGACTAGGCACCATGTTCCGCCCCCCAACCCTGAGGAAGCAGTTGGAGTCCTCTGCCCAGCCTGCATGCTGACCCTATGTCAGCACTGTGTCTGCCACAGGTTGGGTCAGTAGGGCCCTCAGTCTGCCCCTCAGGGAGCCAGCTGGGGAGATGGGGCTTCTTCCCTCACGCTGCCAGCCTGCAGCCCCTACAGCTCTGAGTAGCTGGGCCTGTGCAGGGAGCAGGTTCCTGGGGACGCCTGCACCGCCTTGCCGCTCCTTTGGGAACTACAGGGGTTCCTGGGTTGGAGGGAACCATCACTGTTCCCTCTCCCTGTCTTCCCCCCCTCTCCTCCCAGCTGCTTTACTTAAAGTTGATTTTGAACTTTTTATTTGAGGAGACGAAGTGAAAACAAATCTATAAATATATATTTTTAAAATATTTAACTTTTTTTTATGGCGTTTTTCTCATCCCCCTCCCTGCCCAAACTCCCCTTCCCTGGGGAGCCCTGGGGCTCCCCAGAACTGGTTGGGCCTCTGGGGACAGAGCCACCCCCTGATCTTGGGGCCCACCAGTGTGTAGGGGAGATTCTGGGATTGCCCGGTCCTGGGTTGTTTCCAGGAGAAAACCGGGGGAGGGGCCCTCAGGCCATGCCACAATGGAATGGGGAGGGTGACCCACAGCTCTAGGCCTCTTTTTGCCCTCTAGGGCTGTTGCTAGGGAGAGGGAAGAGGGAAACCAAATGTGAGGGTGTCAGATAAAGGAAACTGACTTCATTTGTGCCACACACATGGGCATTGCAGCCTTGTGCTCCTCAGGCCTGCAGCTGCCTGGGGCCCAAGTTGCAGTGAGCAGGGTGGGATCTGGGAGGGGGTGAGAGGCAGGAAAGGGGGTCAGAAAAAATGGGAGCAGCTCTTGGGCTGAGTGCAGTGATGGGGAGCCAGAAGTGGGCAGCTCTCCCAGGGAGTGAGCAGCTACTGTAACTTTTTAAAATTAAGACAAAAAGCCTTGAAGAAAATGACTTTATTTTTCTAAGTGTAACCTCAGTATTTATGTAATTTGTACAGGGGCCGTGCCCCACCCCCTTCTGCTCCCTTTGGGGTAGACCTTCAGGGTGGACCAACACGGGGAGGGTCTTTTACCCTGTGTCAGAGCCCACCTTCACCACCCATATCCAGAAAGGAAGCTTTTTCAGAACAGGGCAGCAGTTGGGGTGGAGTTTTATTAACCCCATGACTGCCTTCAGTAGAAACAAGCCTGCTTCTGTGATTAGGTGAAGGGGTGGGGGGAGATTTTACGCACAGCCTAGTTATCAAGGAGATGATTTGCCGACATTTTTTAGTATCCCCTAACTCTAACCCCTATTGCTGTCTTGCCCCAATTTTGGGTGCCAAGATGGAAGTCACCTTTTTGGACTTTCTCCTGGAGACAGCTGGGGCTTATGAGTGGCTTACAAGGCTGGGGCATGGCAAATCAGGGGCCAGAGAGTGGGGGGGCTTGGGACTCAGGTCTGTAACTGCCCAGCCCTTTTCTCTGCTCTTGTTTCACTCCACCCTCACTCACTCACTCCCCAACTCCCCCACCCAGGGGAGGAGACCTTGATGAATTCCTCCTCCCCTTCCCACAAAAGACAGACCCAGTGAGTGAATCCGGCAAAGTGCTTATAATGTGTGTCGTGTGAGCATGGCCTTGGGAGAACATGCGTGCATCAGGGATAAGGTGGCATTTATATGTGCAGCAACCCTTGGTGTTTCCCTTCCTTGGTGGCTCTGGGGTGCGTGTGTGTGTGTGTGTGCTTGAGTGAATGTGTGTGTGTGAATGTGGGGTGTGTATGTCAGTGGTTTCTACTTCCCCTGGGATGCTGACCCAGGAATAGTGGACATGGTCACAGTCCTATGTACAGAGCTTTCTTTTGTATTAAAAAAAATACTCTTTCAATAAATGTATCATTTTTGTGCACAGACTGTGGGGTCTTTGCCTCAGTTTTTCCATCTAGGCAAGGACAGAGTTATGAACACGAATTAAACCCCAAAAGTTACTGCTCTGAGAAGGAAGTCTGGCTGCTTGATGAAAACAGCAGCAATGCTTAGGGGTGTTTTGTGCTGTTAAACTCTGTATGATTTAAGAAACACCCCTGGCCAGTTTGCTCAGTGGTTAGAGCGTCAGCCTGCGGTCCAATGAGATCTGGGTTCGGTTCCTGCTAAGAGCATGTGCCTCAGTTGCAGTTTGTCTCCGGCCCTGGTTGGGTCTTGTGGGAGGCAGCCACTTGATGTGTCCCTTTCACTTCGATGTTTCTCTCTCTCTTCCTCTCTCTCCCTCCCACTCTATCTGAACAAAAAAACGGGAAAAATATCCTCCGGTGAGGATTAAAAAAAAATTTAAGAAACATTTCAGGGGGTTGGGGGCTTACGTAAATTTATTTGCTAGGTTCTTAGGTCAACACAGAGATAAGCAATTTTAATTTATAGAAAGTGACTCAACTAATCCAAAGCATTGCTGAAGGGTTTGGGAAACTCATGTCCACGTGACCTAGTGAAATCTCAAAGGACAGCCCTAGGGTAGGAGTGTGGGTTACCAGGTTTCAGGGGCATGAATACCTAGAGAAGGGGAGGGGCAGTCTTCCAAATTGATTGCGGAGGGAAAGGGCTGCCTACTGCTGCAAAGACGTGGAACAACGTGACCGCGATCGCGGGCTCCGCCTGCCGCGCGTCGCCTCCCTCCCCCGGCGGATCGTGGGTACTGCGCATGCTCCACTTGCGCGCGGTTCGCCGCGCTGGGACCCGTAGAGGCCTGGCGGGGCGTGCTCTCGCTGTGTGACCCGGAAGGGAGCTGCTGAGGAGGCGGGGCCAGGACGGCGGGACCGGCCGCGGGGTTCCAGCGAGGGCCGAACCGGGCGGTGGGAGGTGAGAGGAGAGTTCTGCGTGGATCCGATCCTTGCCCTGACCCTCTCCGGTCCCTACCCACTTTCTGTGGGGCTGACAACGGGAGACAGATCTTGCTCCCTGAGGTTCACCGGGTCCTGTCAGCCTCCTCGGACCTAGTCCTCCCCCCAACCCCTTCCCCGAGCCCCAAACCTGTTCCCACCTCCGTTTTGGCCTCCTGCACCGCCCCTCCTGGGCTGCAAGCTTGGGCCTGACCTTGCTACCTGCACCTACCTGCTGTCTCATCCCCGCGTCCAGACCTCACCTTTACATCACAGTTTATTGCTCTTTATAGTTACCCCAGCCCCCCAAATTTAGGCCTATCCAATTGTTCTACATCTCCACCCTGCTCATCAGTTGTTCATCAGCATATCACTGCGGTCCAATGAGATCTGGGTTCGGTTCCTGCTAAGAGCATGTGCCCCCTGGTAACTACACCCCTGCTTCCATGGAGGTCCACAACCTGTATTTCCCCTCCTCTTCACACCTTTTTTCTACTCTAATTTTCTATCCCTGTACCCCAACATGACCCCTGTCTGATCACCATTTCTTCATCTGGGTTTACCTTACATTCTTATTCTCACCATTCCCCGCTGCCCCCACACTGCTTTGTGTTACACCTGTCGTTTCCTGATCACTAGCATAGCCATCACCCTGCTCCCGGTATAATCTCTGGCTTAATAACATTCCATTTATCTGAGGATTACCCCTTCCTTATCCATCTGAGAATAATAATATTAGATCATCTTTATTGAGCACTCACTATGTGCTAGAGGCTGTTCTAGGTGCTTTACATAGGTGATCTTTAGTTTTTACTTCATGAGTTGGGTATGAATATTATTAACATTTTGCAGAGGAGGAAACCGAGGTAAAGTAACTTGTTCAAAACTGTGCATATAATCAACGAACCAGAATTCTGAGACACATTTATCTGAAATCTGCACTATATTATATTGCAATCTAATACCTCCACCATCTCCTGACCTCATTCCCTAGCCTCAGTTGCATGATTACCACCTCCATCTATATCTACCGGATTTAGACTCTCACCATACATATAGAGTAAGTGGAGGACAGGGTCCGGTCTTTTCCTCCCATTATTTTGTCTGGTTCTCTAGACCCCTCCTTCTTTCACAGTACCCATATGCTTTTCCAATCCAGCCATCTGGATGTGGGGGTCCACAGCCCAACCTCCTTTCATCTCTATTTTCTGTACCTGCCATGGCTACTCCTTTATGTCCACATTCCAGCTTTACCCTGTCATTTATACCCCCTGACTTTCCCCTCCCCCACTCTGACTTTCCTCACTTGTTCTAGCCCCACTGTTTCCCATGCTGCTGTCCTTCCTGCTCATTCATGTCATTCTCCTGATTTGTATCCCTCAGACACTCTGCTATTCTGCTCAGACTGCCCTGCTTAACTGTCCACTCTTTTTGTTACCTTGCCTATTCTCATCTCTCTCATAACCTCTTCCATATCTTAAACCTCTTCGTTTCATCCTTAGCTGATTTCACTCCTTTCCCCTTCCCTTATAAATCCCAAAGTATGTCCAAGTTATTTATTTCATCATATTCTTGGCCTTTCGACTTGGTCTCTAAATTCCATCATGTAACTTACCAATCACCACCCACCCTATCTGTGTTTCAAGATTCCACCCCCTCCATGTAGTCTGTTCCCTTTTCCATATTGCCTTTATCTTTCTGCTTGTGTGTCCCAGGAGGTCAGGATGGTGGGGGAACGACGCACTGGGAACCTCATGGTGCCCTTGGGGCCCTGGCTGCAGGCATATCCCGAAGAACTTATTCGACAGCGTCTTGGGCACGATGGGCGTCCTGAATACCTGATCCGATGGAGTGTCCTGAAGTGTGGGGAAGTGGGTAGAGTGGGTGTAGAAGAGGGCAAGGCAGAGCACATCCTCATGTGGCTGTCAGCCCCCGAGGTCTACGCCAACTGCCCTATGCTGTTAGGTGAGTGGGCACTATCTAAGGGACCTCAGTGCAAACCAGCTGGGGGTTCAGGAAGCTTTCCCCGAGATCCAGGAGGCCTGGATGATGTGGCAATGGGAGAGATGGAGGCCGATGTACGGGTGCTAGTACGGAGGGCTGCAAGGCAGCTGGAAGAAGGTGGGACCTCGAGCCTCACAGCTTCTGTGCTCCACACCATTCACGTGCTCAGTGCCTACGCCAACATCGGGCCCCTCACTGGGGTCTTCAGGGAGACAGGAGCCCTGGACCTGCTCATGCACATGTTGTGCAACCCTGAGCCTCAGATCCGTCGGAGTGCGGGCAAGTTGCTGCAGGCTCTGGCAGCCCACGATGCTGGTAAGAGACAGTCAGGGGAGGAAGACAAGCACTGGAGAGAATGGGGCCATAAGGATTAAGAACAGAAGGAGGAAGGATTTCCTAACTCTGTAATACCAATTCAATGCAAAGGAAAAAATAGATTAATAGACTACTTATTAATTTATATAGGATAAAATGATAGGACCTGGTTTATTTGTCTATTCTTAGTGTAGTGACAGAGAAGAGAATAGGGTAGGTTTATATTTTTAAACTGTGGGTTGAGACTCATTAGTTGGTTGTAAAACCAGTTTGATGAGTTATAACCAATGTTTTTTTAAAAATGTAAAATATTAGCATGTGGCACTACAAAAGGTACATTTTGTGGCATGAAATATATGTTCCAGTTATATATGTAAACATTCATATCAGGTTACCATGTAAAATGTATATCTTACTGTGAGTCTCAGTTACAAAGAAGTGAAAGCCTCGGGTAGGGGATGGAGAATCTAGGAAAGGCAGAGGGAAAGTATCGGGGATTGAGGAGAAGATATGGATTGGGTGTGGATTACAGGGAGTCGGGCTCACGTCCTTCTGTCACTGAGCCAGCAAGATGGCATCGAGGAGCACATGGATTTTGACAGCCGCTATACTTTGCTGGAGCTGTTTGCAGAGACCACATCCTCTGAGGAGCACTGCATGGCCTTTGAGGGCATTCATCTGCCTCAGGTACTCTGGTGGCTGTGGGACAAATGCTGGTCTAGGCTTTGGGCTTTATTTCTGAGGTGTGGTTCAGGACTGCATCAGCACCAGAGCCACCTGGGGAGATTGTTCAAATGAAGGTTTATGCCCCCCTCCCCACTCAGAACTTCTGAGATTAGTACCCAGGAATGTGTGTTTTAAGACACTTCTTGTGCGTTTCTTATATAAATCACAGTTTGACAACTGCAGGTATGTGGATGAGGCCTTTACATTTTTCTGTGGAGAATGATATAGAGGGGAAAGAAGGGCTGAAGCTGGGAGATGAACCTACACCACAGACTGTGTCCTACAGATCCCAGGAAAGCTGCTCTTCTCCCTGGTGAAACGCTACCTATGTGTCACTTCCTTGCTGGATCAGCTGAATAACAGTCCAGAGCCAGGGGCTGGAGACCAAGGCTCCCTGTCCCCAAGGGAGGAGTTCGCCTGGGAGAAAAGCCGGGGGCAGCGGGAGCTGGAGTTCAGTATGGCTGTGGGACACCTCATCTCAGAGTTGGTGCGGAGCATGGGCTGGGCCCAGAACCTCAGCGAAAAGAGCATGTCGCCTCCCCGGCCATCCCGGTCCATCTTTCAGCCCTGCATTTCAGGCCCCGGCCGTTTACTCCACACCGTTGTTACCACCCCCAGAAAGCGAGAGCGGGCCTTCCGCCAGCGTCATGAATTCTCTAGCCGTAGTGGCTATGGTGAGTATGTGGAGCAGACACTGCAGCCCGGGATGCGAGTGCGGATGCTGGATGACTATGAGGAGGTCAGTGCCGGGGACGAGGGCGAGTTCCGGCAGAGCAATAACGGCGTGCCCCCTGTGCAGGTGAGCCAGCGCGTGGCGGTGGTTCACTGTGGTAGTGGGACACTGTTGGACATCTTTTTGGATGGCACATAGCTGGGACTTCCATGCAGGGGACTCTGACAGGCTGCCCAAGGAGAAAACTCTCAAGAGAACTAGACTGGTTAAAGGGCAATCAGTAGTTGAAGGGGGGCATTTGGGGGAGCTGAGAAAATCTGACAGGAGTAGGTGGGCTGTGAAGTCAATGAGATTCATGCCCTGATATATCCAGACACTGCTGCCCCCTACTGGTGGAGTTGGCTAGGAGGAGTAAGAAGCAGAAGCCATCAGGGTTAGGAAGAGATGAGAGGCAGGGCCTCCCCTAGCAGGAGAAGGGAGCCTTTTTCTGTATGGAGGTTACCCGAGCCTAGCCAGGTGTGCATCCGAGGGCTGTATGCCCCAGCTCTTGGCCCAGCATGTCCTCTCAAGCCTGCACAACCCAGGGCTCAGATGGTGAACTCTGTATTCTTCTTCCCTTTGTCTTCCTCCATACCAGGTCTTCTGGCAGTCAACGGGTCACACCTACTGGGTGCACTGGCACATGCTAGAGATCATGGACCCTGAAGAAGCTGCTGAGGATACAGATTCAGCAGCTGTGGAGAAGGGGGCAGGGGCCACTATATTGGGCACAGGTGAGCCTTGGAGGGGACATTGACAGTATTTCTCTGCGCAGAGGATGAGTGGCTTGGATGAAGCCACTCCTGACCAGGAGCTGCCCCAGAAATTCAGAAATCCAGAAATCCACTCTATTTCTGGTGGATGCTGAGACCCCTGTGCCTGTATTTTTAGCACTTCCCTGCTGGGACTGGAAACCTGTGGATGGGCTCTACTCTTTGCCATATCTCCAGCCTGAGCCTCAGAAGAATGAGAAATTGGGATACCTGACCCAGGCTGAGTGGTGGGAGCTGCTCTTCTTCATCAAGAAGTTGGACACATGTGAGCAGCAGCCGATTTTTCAGAATCTTCGGGAGAACCTGGATGAGGTATTATGGGCCTGAGACACCTAGGGTTTTGTAGAGGGGTTAGAGGTGGGATTGCCCAAGGGAATTCTAGATACAGGAGTGCTTAGGAAGAGGCTGGTACTATAGGTTGGAGAGTATGAGGGGTCTTTCTGGGGGAGGAAACAAAATGCTGTGAGGGTATGGTATGTGGAGGGTGTGCAGGAAATGGCGAGAGGTGGCCACCCTTCCATTTACTGTCCCCAGGACCTTTGTGTCTGCTTGTTCCTGAAATGCATACCCCTTTCTGTTAACAGACCCTGGATGAAAAGGCCCTAGGTGAAATCTCCGTGCCCAGAGCAGTGGCTGAGGATGTGCTGCAGGTTCTCAGTAATCGGTTCGAGGGAAGCACCCTCAGTGACCTGCTCAACTCCCAAATCTACACCAAGTACGGGCTGCGACCTGATGAACTAAGCATCTCTTCACGAAGTCACTCCTGTACCCCAGATCCAGAAGAGGAGTCCAGGTCGGAGGCCAGGTTCTCAGAGGAAGAGACTGAGTCCCCCAAAGCAAAGACTGAGCCCCATAAAGCAGAGGCAGAACCTGCCAAGGGAAAAACTGAGCCTCCCATGGCACAGAGTGATTCACAGCTGTTTAACCAGCTTCTGGTGACTGAGGGGATGGCTCTGCCCCCCGAAATAAAGGAGGCAGCCAGTGGTGAGTTAGATGCTGGGAGGGGAGGGCAAAGAAGTTGGAAAAAGTCCTGGATAGTCCCCAGAAAAATGGGTAGTCAGGGTAGAGGGAAAGCTGTGGAGTAAGGTCACATTCGCTCAGGAAATGCTTTGGAAACATATATCCATCTTCCTTCCTTTGGCCTTGATTATATCTAATCAGTCATAGCTCCTTTTCTTCAGTATCCCTGGAAAAGGAGGGTCCATCCTTCAAAGTATCTTCGTCTTTGTTGTTTGAGTATTAAATACTTTTCATAGAATTGGATAAGTTCTGAATGTAAGCTATGGTAATGAGTATATTGAAAGGTCAATAGGATAACTAGGCCTGACTTAAGGACTTCCAATTTGGAGGTGCCACTTTTTTTAAGCCACTGCCTTTCCCTCATCGATTTCAGAAATGGCTAGAGCCTTGCGGGGTCCAGGTCCACGCAGCTCTCTGGATCAGCAGGTGGCGGCTGTTGTGGCTACTGTGCAGATATCCAGCTTGGACACAAACCTGCAGCTCTCAGGGCTCTATGCCCTCTCTCAGGCTGTGGAGGAGGTCACGGAGCGGGACCACCCTCTGGTCCGTCCTGACAGATCCTTGAGGTTGGAATGGTGGAGAGGGAAGCGGTTTTGGTTTAAGCTGGGGGTGAGGTGGAGGGTGGGGAGTAGTAGGGTGGGAAGGAGCTATGAGATCAAGAATCAGAAAGGCTAGGGATGAAAGAAGGGTCAGTCTGAGGAGCAGCAGAGCAGGAGGGTGAAATATTATCATGGCTAATACTGTTGGAGCATTTATTCTCTGCTAGGCTCTGTGCTTAAAATTTTACTTGCATTCTCTCATTAAGTTCTCCTATCACCTAAGAAAGATTCACTCCTATTATTCCATTGTATGAGTGAGGAGACCGAGGCTTAGAGAATTTAATTAACTTGCCGGTAGTTTGACAGAAAGCAGAGTTAGGATTCAAACTTAGGTCCTTTGGCTCTAGAACTTGAGTGTTTTTTCTTTTCTTTTCCCTTCTTTTTTCTTCCCTCCCTTCTTTCTTTTTATTTTTAAAGTTTTTTTTACTACTTAATTATTGTCATTTTAAAAGATCTGAAGACCATAAAACATAGCATGAAAAGCTCTAGTTTCTTTTCACCACTGTCATTCTGGTGTGCATCTTTTAGACCTTCCCTAGGTTTACACTTGTTAGCGTGTTTGGATATAGAACATTTTCCGAGTTTGTGTTTTAATGTATGTAGTCACACTCTACATGTTTCTGCAACTTTCCCCCACACCCAGTATGTCTAAGAGAGCACTCCATGTCCGTCCGCATAGAGCTGCCTCATTATTTTCATTCTGCACAGTATTCTGCAATATGATCATGTCCAAGTTCAAATACAGTGTTCTAATGGATCTGTTTCCTTCTGCCAACACCAGATATTAGCATTTTTTAAAAACTTACCAGATTGGCAAAATTTAAAGTGATTGATATCTCCTTGTTTTAATTTCTTAGGTCTAGTGAGGTTGGACATATTTGCATAAATTTGTTGTGTTTCTTCTAGAAATATTCTGTTTTTACCCTTTGCACACTTTCTTACTGGGTCTTTCTTACTGGGTCTTTGTCTTTCTTACTGGGTCTTTGTCTTTTTCTTATTGGCTTATGGGCATTCTGTATATTAATTTGTTATTGATGTTTCAAATATCTTGCTTGCCTTCTTTTTCCAAAATTATATTAACTATTTTCTAAATATAAAATGATTCATGCTCACTGTAAAAAAATTAGAAAATTATGAAGGTAAAAATCATCTGAAAACCCGTTATACAGACATAGTCACTGTTAACATTTTCGTAAACATACTTATATTTCTATATCTATTCATACGTAGTACCTATGTATATTAACTTGTTTGTAAGAAACCATGAAGGGGATATATATTTAAAGCATATTTGACTCACATTGAAGTCATCATAAAGCACATGAAAAAAGACAGATTAAAACCAAATTTCCCAGTACTTTTATTTGCCTTCTTTCCCAGAATTTCTCCTTTTTGTTCCTTTACTCCATAGTTCACAGGCGCCTCCTCAGTGCGCAGCTCTGTCCCTCTGGAGAAAGATGTCAGTCTGTTGTGTTTTTCCTCTTGTGGCGCTCACTGTGATCTAGGGACTGTGGAGGTACTTCCTCCTTCCCTTCTAGTCACCATTTGCACTGGACCCTCTCTCTGACTCATGTTGCTTATCTCTTAATTTGGTCGATAGTGCCTTTCATTGTGCTCAAGTTTTAGATTTTAATGTTGCCATGTTTTTCAGCTTTTTGTTGTTGTTGTTAATCCTCACCCGAGGATATTTTTCTCCATTGATTTTTTTTTTTTTCTTTTTTTTAGAGAGTGGAAGAGAGGGAGGGAGGAGGAGGAGAGAGAGAAACATTGATGTCAGAGAGAGACATCAATCCGATCTGCTGCTCCCTTCATGCCTCTACTGGGGATTGAGACCACAACCCTGGCATGTACCCTGATGGGGTATCGAACTGGCAGCCTTTCAGTGCCTGGGATGATGCCCAACCAACTAAGCCACACTGGCCAGGGCTGTTTTTCAACTTTTTTATGGCTTCTAGATTTTGTGTCCTACTTAAGAGGGTATGGTATTCCAGGATTACAAAAATATTTCCCTATAGTTTCTAAAAGTATCGATTATTTTGTTTTTTTACATTTATTAAAAAATGTTTGCAATTTGCCCTGGCCGGTTTGGCTCAGCGGTTAAAGCGTCCACCTGTGGTCCGGAGAGACCCGGGTTCGGTTCCCACTAAGGGCACGTACCTCGGTTGCAGTTTGTCCCCGGCCCTGGTTGGTCGTGCGGGTGGCAGCCACTCGATGTATCCCTTTCACATCGATGTTTCCCTCTCTCTCTCTCTCTTCCTCTCTCTCCCTCCCACTCTGTCTGTACAAAAAATGGAAAAATGTCCTCGGATGAGGATAAAAAAAAAAAAAAAATGTTTGCAACTTATTTTCAAATGAAGTAGAGTTCTAGCTTTATTTTTTTCGGATGGATAGCCAGGTGTCTTCACGTCACGTTTTGCATGGTCCTTCCTATCCTTTGCGGCTGAGCTGCTGCCCTTGTCTCTCTTCTCCTCTATTGATCTGTTTGGCTACCCTGTATTATTTAATTTTTAGTTATTATAATTTTTTTTTTTTAAAGAAAGACAGTCTCTGTAGTTTTCATTTTTATTATTATTTTTAATCCTCACCCAAGGATATTTTTTCATTGATTTTTAGATAGTGTGGAAGGGAGAGAGAGACACATACACATCGATTGGTTGCCTCCTACACGACCTTGACCAGGGCTGGGGATAAAACCTGTAACCTAGGTACATGCCCTTGACCAGGAATTGAACCCGAGACCCTTCAGTCCGTGGGCTGACACTCTCACTGCTGAGCCAAACTGGCCCGGGCAATTATTACAAGTTTATATTTTTTTTTTTTTTTAATCCTCACCCGAGGACATTTTTCCATTTTTTTTTTTGTTCAGGTAGAGCGGGAGGGAGATAGAGGAACAGAGAGAGAGAGAGAGAAACATCGACGTGAAAGGGACACATCGAGTGGCTGCCACCCGCACGACCAACCAGGGCCGGGGACAAACTGCAACCGAGGCACGCGCCCTTAGCGGGAACCGAACCTGGGTCTCTCAGGACCGCAGGCCGACGCTCTAACCGCTGAGCCAAACCGGCCAGGGCTACAAGTTTATATTTTGATAACTAGTAGGCAAGTGCACCATTATTTCTTTTCAAATATTTTAAAATATGTTTTTTATTGATTTTAGAGAGAGAGGGAGAGAAATATCTATGTGAGAGAAACATCGATTAGTTGCCTCCCGCACGCCCCATACAGGATCAAACTCCCAACCCAGGCATGTGTTCTGACCAGAAATCAAACTGGTGACCTTTTGGTGCTTGGGATGACACCCAACCAACTGAGCCACACCAGCCAGGGCACCTTTTCAAACTTTTTTGACTGTTCTTGCATGTTTTCTCTTCCTGGGCTTGAATCTGCTTGTCATATTTTTTAAAAAACCATTTAGGCATTTTGATTAGAGTGACATTGAATTTATAGACTTAATTGAAAGGATGAGCCAGAGTTTGCAACCATTTTGTTCTTCTGAGTCCTTCCGGAAGTGAGGAGCCAGAGGCAGTGAGGCTGCAGAGGAGAGGGGATCAGGAGTGAGACTGAGGCAAGAAGAGCAGGTTGGAAGGAGGTGAGGGGTGATCTGGAACTTGGTGTATACAGTCAGGTGGGGAACCAGGCAGGACCCTTGAGGTGGGAAACTTCGATTTCTCTCCTCCAGAGAGAAGCTAGTGAAGACACTGGTGGAGCTGCTGACCAACCAGGTGGGAGAGAAGATGGTGGTGGTGCTGGCCCTGCGCCTCCTCTACCTGCTCATGACCATGCAGGAGTGGCTCCCACTCTTTGCCAGGGAGGGTGGCATCTACGCTGTGCTGGTTTGCATGCAAGAACACAAGACATCTGTGTTGGTGCAGCAGGCAGGGCTGGCGGTGAGTGGACTGGGCCTGGCGGGAGTGAACGATGGGCAAAGTGGGCAGGTTGGGGGGCTGCTAACCTTGGGAGGTGCTCTGGTGATTTAGACCAAGGAGGAGACTTTGGGACCGAAAGATGCAGATGGATATGAGACTTCCAGCTGGACAGATTGAGTGATGTTTGGAGAGAGGGAGAAAGATGTCTTTCAGAATGACTCCAGGTTTAAAATTGAGCAGCAGGGTGGATGAGATGGCCATTTACTAGGTGGGAGAATGTTAGAGGAGGAAGAGGTATGGGTAGAAGGCCAGGAGTTGAGTTTTTAGGTATGTTGAATTTCCCATGCCCTTTTAGTTACAATTAGGTGGCTGTTAAAGACTAATTTTCTAGATATGACAGGGTAGATTTTTTTACCCTTTAATCTGAGTGGTACTCTTTCATAGAAAATAACCCCCTTCCAGATGTGTGTGTAAAACAAAGCCAACATTGCCATTGTCTTGTCACCCTGGGGTCAGAGAATGGGGGAGGGAGACCCTCGTCCAGGAGAGCTTAACAGAATTGGCTTCCTGACTTATCCAGACATAAGTGCTGGCTGGCAGATGTGGGCAACGTGTGCTGTATATAGCCTGAGGGCCCTTGGGGGGACAGGTAGGCCTCAGTCCTGAGAGTGTTTTCCAGCAGTGTAAATGCAGCAGTGTGCACAGGAGCACATGTCCTCTTAGCGCCGGTTGTCTTAGGGAGAGGCTGGGAGGTTCTTTCCTACATGACCTGTTAGATGCTGCTGCTCCTATGAGCAGCTAAAAATTCATAGTCCAGGCCATGTCTGCTTATGGAGTTCCTTGACCCTTTCAAATTGCAAGACCAAAATACAGCATTCAAACTCTTGCCCTGTAACAAAATTGCATCATTTTATTTATAACTAAAGGTCTACAGAATTCAGCTAATTGGGGGAGAGTGGGATAGCCAAAGGGAGAAAGTCTCATTATGAGGCGGCATTTGTTTCAGGGGTCCAGATCTCAGAAGGGGGATTATCCTGAGAATTATTTCTAGTTCCCAGAGGGTTTCTTCTTAAGAGTCAACTCTTTGACCAGGAGAGACATTCTCCACTCAAATGGTATAGTGTTCATCTTAAGTATTTTTTTCTATAGTACCAGCAAACAAGTTGGCACGTTACAAATATTTCTTCCTGTGATTTCAATCAGTCTGTCAGTGAGACAGCCCAAGTAGCGCTGAGGAGGGCGGGATACTGGCTGTGGAAGCCAGGGGACATAGGTTTGGGAGTGTTGGCATGTAAGTGGTACCTGAAGCTATGGGAGTGGCCAAGGTGGCCTAGGGAGGGAGTGCAGAGTGAGAAGAGAGGGGGACAGGACTTCCATATTTAAGGATCAGGCAGAGAGGGACAATAACCAGGAGGACGTGAAGTTATGGAAGTCAAGAGAAGCGAGGTTTTGCAAAAGGAGTGGTCAAGCAAGAAGGAAGACAATTTCAAAGAAAGCTTTTGCAGACAACTAGATGCTGTGAAAAGGCCCCATCCTGAGGGGAAACTATGGGAGGGGGCAGCCATCCCAATCAGTTAGCCTTGGTGCTGGTAGAGAGAAACTGTGAGCTGATATTACCACCACTGAGCCTTAAGATTTTTTTCCTTTTTTTTTTTGGCATTTAATGTCTTGTCACTACATTTTCCATTTCCGTCTATTTCTTGACCTGTTTGCAAACAGCTCAGCTTCCCCAAAGCTTGAGGTCTAGAATGATGGCCTGGCTGTCCCCTTTCTCTGCATGGTGGTTCTGCCCACTCCTAACTCTGCTTCCACATCCCCCTTGCAGGCACTGAAGATGCTGGCTGTTGCTAGTTCCCCGGAGATCCCCACTTTTGTTACTGGTGGAGATTCTATTCATCCACTGTTTGATGTGCAGATGACCAGAGAGATCTTCGCCAGCATTGACTCAGCCACCCGCCCAGGCTCTGAGAGCCTGCTCCTTACTGTCCCTGCAGCTGTGATCTTGATGCTGAACACTGAGGGGTCAGGACATCACCCTCCAAATTCAAACTCCTGCTAAGACCCAGTTGCCATTGCTCCTCTGCCCAAGTCTCATGCTCCATAGAAATTCCCTTTATGTTGTTACCTCTGGGCAAAACTTTCGGGGCCCTCTCTGATGGTGGTTGAAAGAGAGGCCAAGTGGTTGGGGATAGGGTGACTCCCAGACAGCAGAGACACCCTGACCTTCCTTCCTGGGATTGGGAGGAGTGCCCTGAGGTTAAGGACCCCTGGAGCCCATTTCTCCCCAGCTGCAGGGCTTCTCCTTGTGTACTTACTTCCTGTTTCCATTGTATTCACTCTCTGTCAATTTCTTCCCCGTCACCTCCCTCCTCCCAGATGTTCCTCTGCAGTGAGAAATGGTCTGATCCTGCTCAGCCTGCTTTTGTGCAACCACCACACTCTGGGAGACCAGATTATAACCCAAGAGCTGAGAGACACCTTATTTAGGCACTCAGGGATAGCAGTGGGTACAGAACCCATGCCCACCACACGCACCATCCTCATGATGCTTCTCAATCGCTACTCAGAGCCGCCGGGCAGTCCTGAGCACACAGGTACCATTGTGAAGGGGGTGGTTCTGCTGAGGAGTCAGACATTGCTAGCCTGTGGCTGCTGTTTACATCCTTATACCTTACTGGAAGGACACACTGAACCTTCAGGAAATGAATGAAGGTGTTGGTGCTCAAGTTAGGTCTTAGAACTTCCTCACCAAGATGAGAGGGAGACTCTAGAATAGGTGCAAAGAAATTGCCTTCTCTTAATGGCTTTAAACGTGAGGATTGCCATCTGTGTATGGTCTGGGTTTGGTCCAGTCTTATTGGATGCCAAAAGGTGGGTTGAAGTAACTTATAGGAGAGGCCTTCTTGAGTGGAGTTGTAATTTACAGTACAGAAAGTTGATGACTAGAAACATGAAATGTTGATATCATGGGGAGGAAACCCTTTGCATTTAATAAACAAGTGAAAACCCAGAAGTATGGGGGGAAATTGAAATGAGTAGTATGTGTCTTTTAGTTTGTATAGCTAAAGTCCCCAGGCTGGTAGTGCAGGGGTGTGATTTTAACAGCTGACATTTACTGGCGTGTGTAACAGCATAGTTCACATTTAATAATAAAATATAATTGTATGACCATAGGAGATTAAAAATGCATAAATGTGACAGTGTTTGCCATACTAGACATTGTTTTCAGATGTATATATAGATATATATTTGGGGCCAGAAAAGAAAATCCTCTATAGTTTTGTAAAAACTAGGCATTCTCTGAATGGGAGGAGAATGGGTGCAGGGGGTGATTTTCAGGAACTGCCCATTTCTCAGTTTGACCCATCTGTATTTATCCTCTTTATACGTATTTTCTTCTTCCCCTGTGTCTGGGCAGCAACACTGGAGACGCGCGGTACCCAGGGCCAGGATAGGTCCCCTGAGCTGCTGATCCGGTCCCTGGTTGGGGGCCCATCTGCAGAACTCCTCCTGGACTTGGAGCAGGTGCTGTGCCGTGAGGGCGGCCCCAGGGGTGCCGTGAGGCCCCTGCTCCAGCGTCTCCAGAAGGAGAGCCAGCCCTTTCTCCTGTTGCTGCGGACTCTGGATGCCCCCGGACCCAACAAAACTCTGCTGCTGACGGCGCTGAGGTGAGGGGCCTGTTCGGGCATCCACACTGAGGGCGAGGGGAGCTGGCAGACTGTAGGCACTTCACTTGTTCCCATCCCCTCACCAGGGTCATGACCCGGTTGCTGGATTACTCTGAGACAATGGTCCTCCCCTGGCATGAGGTCTTGGAGCCCTGCCTCAACTGCCTGAGTGGCCCCAGTAGTGACTCTGAGGTACCAGAGCCCTGGCAAGGGTGGGTCTGGACACTGGGAGGAGTGGGTGTGAAGGAGGCTAATGTCGTCTAAGAGTCTCCAGAACTGGGCCTTTGAAGTACAGGCGCACGTCCCAGATATTGTGGGTTCAGCACTAGATCACTGCAGTGAAGCGAGTATCACAGTTGAGCGAGTTGTAATCTTTTTGCTGGTGTAGGGCCTTTAAAAAATGCAACATCTGTAAAGCCCCATAAAGCTAAATGTAGTAAAATGAGTTGTGCCTATATAAGCCTTTTGGCTGCACCTGGATTTTATTTATTTTATTATTATTTTTTTAATCCTCATCCAAGGATATTTTTCCATTTATCCTCAGATAGAGTGGGAGGGAGGGAGGGAGAGAGAGAGGGAAACATCGATGTGAGAGAGGCACATCGACTGGTTGCCTCCCACGCGACCCTGACCAGGGCTGGGGACTGAATCGCAACCAAGGTTTGTGCCCTTGACCAGAATCGAACCCAAGACTCTCTGGTTCACAGGCCAATACTCCAACCACTGAGTCAAACCGGTCAGGGCTGCACCTGGATTTTAGATTCTGGGTTAAGGAGAAGCCCATATTTAGCAATCCAAATGTTCCTTGCTCTCCACCCTTCATGGGTTGAGGCTCAGGCACTGAGGTTGGCTCTTGAGATAGCTTGGCCCTGGCAGGAAGAAGCCTGGGAAGCTGTGCCTAGCTCCTGCCAACTCAGTGTGGAGTCCCAGCACCCCAGCATTCTGTTCCTGTCTTTGGTATTTTCCTTTCCCCGGGCTTCTGAGTTTCTCCAAAATATCAGCCACCGCCTTCCCTTTACTAAGCCCACCCCTCAGCCTTCAGCCCTTACGGGGCCTGCCCTTATTTCCCACGCATTACTCTGTGGCTCCGGGCTCAGACTGTGCAGGAGCTGCTCCGCTTCCTTCATCGCCTGGCCTCGGTGCACAAGGACTATGCAGTGGTGCTCTGCTGCCTGGGAGCCAAAGAAGCCCTCTCCAAAGTCCTGGACAAGCACTCGGCTCTGCTTCTGGCCTGCGAGCTACGGGACCTGGTGACAGACTGTGAAAAGCACGCCCAGCTCTGTAGTAGCCTCACCTCTAGCATCCTGGCTGGTTGCATTCAGGTAAGGAGGCTCGTGGATACAGAGCCAGGGGCGATGTAAGCCAGAGCGGGGGGCGGGGGGGATTTAGTGTGTGTCTCCATTTGGTAACCCTGTTTGACATGAGTAGTAGCAAATCTGGGGTATTTGTTTCTAGATCTTTACCCCACATGCTCCTGTTCTTCCAAAATTTGGGGAGGAGTGAGTTGAGTGTTCCATTGCCCCTTGACTCTTTCTCCATATATGTCTTTTATTTTGTTTGTTTTTCTGTGTTTTCCCCTCTTCCCCTTCCCCTTCTCTCTCATGTTCCGGCTGCAGATGGTGCTGGGCCAGATCGAAGACCACAGACGAACCCACCAGCCTATCAACATCCCCTTCTTTGACGTGTTCCTCAGATATCTGTGTCAGGGTTCGTGCCCCCATCTGCTTTCTCCTGATTCCCGCTCCAGCATCTGTTGTCCTCTTCTCTTCCTGCTCTCCAGTCTCTTTCCACTTTTCTCTCAACTAACCAGGCTGTGACTGTCACCCCTTCCCACTGCTCCAGGCTCCAGTGTGGAAGTGAAGGAGGACAAGTGCTGGGAGAAGGTGGAGGTGTCCTCCAACCCGCACAGGGCCAACAAGCTGACGGACCGCAACCCCAAGACCTACTGGGAGTCCAACGGCAGCACTGGCTCCCACTACATCACCGTGCACATGCACCGCGGTGTACTTGTTAGGTGTGCACACACCCACATACACAACCCCATCTGTAATCCCCAAGGGACACACTCAAACCCATTTCATGTAGTGTTTAGATGGACATATAGACCTGTGCTAGCTGTAGACATCCCCTCACCCCCTGAGCCTGGTGACATGCTTCCCAGCTGGTACAAATACTCCCTGTGCTTGGTGTTGAAGGAGTTCAACAACGCACTTAGTCTTTCTGTGGGCATTTGTTTTTGTTTGTTTGTTTATCTTCACCCGAGGACATTTTTCCATTTTTTGTTCAGATAGAGTGGGAGGGAAAGAGAGAGAGAGAAACATGGATGTGAAAGGGACACATCAAGTGGTTGCCACCTGCACAACCCAACCTGGGCCGGGGACAAACCGCAACCGAGGTACATGCCCTTAGCGGAAACCGAACCCAGGTCTCTCTGGACTGCAGGCCGACACTCTAACCGCTGAGCCAAACTGGCCAGGGCTGTGGGCATTTGTTTAACGTATATTCGGTGCCAGGCACTGAGCAATGGTCTGGAGATGCAAGGACGATAAGATATGGGACTTGACATCAGGGCACATGTGGTTGGGGAACCAGGCTGGAAAATCAGTTAGAGCATAGAGTCAGGAAAAGCATGGTTGACATGCACTGGATCATGAGGCCAACTGAGAGGTCAGAGAAGGCTTAGAGAAGGAGGAGTACACTGAGCTGTTTTAAAGTCGGAAATAGCAAGATAGAGAGGACTGGATATTCCAGGCAGAGGAGCAGCACATGAGCGGAATGGCAGTAAGAAGCACAGTGGTGTATTTGGGGAGCTGGAAGTAAATGTACTGGGTTGGAATGGAGGGCATGTGTAATGAAGCAGCAGGAGATGAAGCCAGAAAAGGAGGCTGAGCCAGGTCACAGAGAGTTCTGTGCATAAGAGGTATGAGCTTTATTCTGAAACGCGGGGGAGCCACTGAAGAACTTCAAGAAGGGAAGAGACAAAACTAGATTTTTAAATTTAGATTTTTTAATTTAGAAAAACTCACTGTGGCATTGTGGGAGTTGGGTTGGAGGCCAGGAAACAAGTTGAAAGGTTTATGCAGTGGTCCAGTTGATGAATGATGACTGTCTTCAGTTAGGCAGAGGGAACGGGAATAGCCAGGAGGTGATGGACTGGGAGATCTTAGGAGGTGGGGTCTACAGGACTTGCCGTTGACCTGGTGAGGGAAGCCAGGAGAGGGAGACGTTGCAGGGACAGTGTTCCAGTGCTTGTCCTGGGTGGATGGCAGTTTTCTTTCCTAGGGGAGAGAAGTAGGAAGAGGAGCAGGATTCTGTGGACAGATGATGATTCCATTCGGGCATTTTGACTTTGAGGTGCCTGTGGAGCATGGCATGGAAATGTCTCTGGGCCACACAGCATGAAACCTCAGGAGAGGAGTCTAGGGTAGACATGTGAATTTGGAGCCATTAGGGTATTGATTTTCAGTTGAAAGAATGAGTTTAAATGAAGTCACTTGGGGAAGATAAAGGCAAGAGCAGAGGGTCTAGGGAAGACTGATGCTTAAACAGAGGGACAGGAGTCTGAAGAGGAAGTGGTGGGTTGAAGTCATTTTGAATGAAGATCAGGGTCCTGTTTCTGACTGATTCCTTTCTCCTCTCCCAGGCAGCTGACTCTGCTGGTGGCCAGTGAGGACTCCAGTTACATGCCGGCCAGGGTGGTGGTATATGGGGGCGACAGCACCAGCTGCATCAGCACTGAGCTCAACACGGTGGGGACCCTCCTGATCCCCTTCACCTTACTGTGCATCCTTCTGTTTGTCCCAGGGCCTTCTCAGAAGGACCCAACCCCTGGGGAACGCCCATGTCCCTTCCTCCTTGTAAGCGGTGGGTGGCATTGGGGATGTGGAGCCGTGTAGATCGTGGGCTCAGTGCAGGAGCAGTGACGGGCACACACCATCACAAACTTGGTTGCTGTCAGCAGTCCTTCCGGCCCCACCTTTGGAGGTGACAGCTCTCCCTCTTCTCCTCTGCCCTGCCAGGTGAATGTGATGCCCTCAGCCAGCCGAGTGATCCTCCTGGAGAACTTGAACCGCTTCTGGCCCATCATCCAGATCCGCATAAAGCGCTGCCAGCAGGTCCGGCAGGGCAGGGGCGGGGCCCTAGGGATCAGGAGGTAGCACAGGGTCTCCATAGTGACTGGGTTCCCCAAGATTTGGGGGCCAGGCCAAGACTCCTCCTTGGTCAGCTTGGGGATGGCCCAGGAACCTGCCAAGTCCCAGAGTAGTAGGACTGTCTTGAGTAGCTCTGGGTAACTTAGGGTGTGAGGCCAGGCTTTGGTAGTGCTTGGTGGCTGGGTGGCTCAGGTGACAGATAAGTCTGTGCATGTTACAGGGCGGCATTGACACCCGGGTTCGAGGTGTGGAGGTCCTGGGCCCCAAGCCCACTTTCTGGCCACTGTTTCGAGAGCAGCTGTGTCGCCGTACGTGTCTCTTCTACACAATTCGGGCCCAAGCCTGGAGCCGGGACATAGCAGAGGACCGCAGGCGCCTCCTCCAGCTCTGTCCCAGGTGGGTGGGGCAGGAGGCGGGCCGGGTTGAAGGCAGGAGGGAGGTGGTTAAGGGAGCGGGACCCTGTGAAGGAGGTGCGCTCCCATGGGGGTCTGAAAGGCAAAGCAGCGGGAATGTGGGCACAGGAGCACAGGGGAGAAGTGTGTGCTGCTGGGGAAGAACTGGGGGAGGGACTAAGCCTGGGGTGATTAAGAGTTGACTGCACTGGTGTGGAGGCCTCAAGGGAATCTGTGCCTTTAACCCTTGACCACACACTATTTATCCCCAGACTGAACAAGGTTTTGCGCCATGAGCAGAATTTTGCTGATCGCTTTCTCCCTGATGACGAGGCTGCCCAAGCGCTGGGCAAGACCTGCTGGGAGGCCCTGGTCAGCCCCCTGGTGCAGAACATCACCTCCCCTGGTAACCATCCTGACCCATGGCCCCACTAACCAGCTCCTTGTCGCTATTCCCAGGGACCACCTGGGATAATGCTCTTAGTTCTGTAGGTTCCTGTCTTTATCCCTGGAGGCCTGTCACTTTAGTGTTTCTTTCCTTCCTCCAGAGACTGCTCTCTGAGACTCTGGTATTTGAATCTTCCTTCCGCCCCACCCACAGCCTGTTACCATATCCCCAGACTTCAGCTTAAGCAAACCTTGGGGATGGGGGAGGTGGTGGTGGCTAGGGCCATGCTGCCTCCCAAACCTTTACGTACAATTGCTCCTTCTCTCTCCTCCTCCTGGGCCATGTGTTCCCCTAGTTCCCTTGGAGACCTGTTCCTGACATGTCTTCTTTTAGATGCAGAAGGTGTGAGCTCCCTGGGATGGCTGCTGGGTCAGTACTTAGAGCAGAGGGAGAGCTCTCGGAACCCCCTGAGTCGAGCAGCATCCTTTGGCTCTCGAGTTCGTCGCCTTTGTCACTTGCTGGTGCATGTGGAGCCTCCTCCTGGGCTTTCTACTGAGCCGTCCACTCAACCCTGTAAGTCCCAGCCGTGGTGGTGGAGCTAAGAATCTGGGCAGTGGTATTATCTGGCCCCTTTCCTCCTGAATTTTACTCTTCCTTGTGGTTTTGCTATGGGCATTTCCAGGGGTCAGTACCCAAGACCCCAGGACTCACCCAGGGGCTGAGATGAAACTGCTTTGCCCTCTGTCTCCACAGTCAGTAAGAACAGTAAGGGACGGGATCGGAGCCCTGGGCCTTCACCAGTTCTTCCAAGAAGTAGCCTGAGGAATATAACGCAGTGCTGGCTGAACGTGGTGCAGGAGCAGGTGGGCAGAAGGAAGCTGAGTTCGGGGTAGGGGGTGGTCTGCTCGGCTGGCTACATACTGGGTCTTTCCTTTTTCATATTTTCTTTTAAAATACGTCTTTTATTGATTTTTAGATAGAAAGGAAGGGAGTAGGAGAGAGAAATATTGATTGGCTGCCTCCTGCACGCTCCCTACTGGGGATCAAGCCGATAACTTGGGCACGTGCCCTGACTGGGAATCGAACCCATGACCTCTTGGTGCATGGGACGACGTTCAATCCACTGAGCCACACCAGCCAGCTTCTTTTACATTTCTCGCTCTTTCTCCTTAGGTCAGCAGGTTCCTGGCTGCAGCCTGGAGGGCCCCAGACTTCGTGCCTCGTTACTGTGCACTCTATGAGCACTTGCAGAGAGCAGGCTCAGAGCTCTTTGGGCCTCGGGCAGCCTTCACATTGGCTCTGCACAGTGGCTTCTCGGGCGCCTTGCTGCAGCAGTCCTTCCTCACCACCGCTCATGTGAGTACCAGCAGCCTGCAGGCAGCAGGGCAGTAAGCTCGTGCTGAGGCTCAGCTCTCTCTGCCCTTTCATTTCCTTTCACTCCCCACTCTCCTCCACTCCCTCTTCACGGTTCACCTGTGCCCTTTCCGTTGCCCCAGATGAGTGAGCAGTTTGCCAGGCACATTGACCAGCAGATCCAGGGCCGCCTGGTTGGTGGAGCCCCTGGAGCAGATCTGCTGGGGCAACTTCAACGGCACCTGGAGCCCATCATGGTCCTTTCCGGCCTGGAGCTGGCCACTACTTTTGAGCACTTCTACCAGTGAGTGAAGGTCTGCAGAGCAGGGGATGGGAGGCATAGAGTTTAGAGAGGGTGAAAATTTGAGTCTTAGAGGGAAGACGAGGGAGGACGCAGTGGGGAGAAGAGATTCAGATCCAGAGATGGCCATGGCATTCATGGGAAGGGGGTGGGGAGTGGGAAGGAAGAGGTGAGGGAGGGCTGTGACCCAGATTGGCTGTAACAGCGGGAACTACGTCTGGACGGGAAGGCCATGCCATGCCAAGTGCTCACACTGAGGCCAGGCCTGGATTGTGTGTGCTGCAGGCACTACATGGCGGACCGTCTCCTGAGCCTGGGCTCCAGCTGGCTGGAGGGGGCTGTGCTGGAGCAGATCGGTTCGTGCTTCCCCAACCGCCTCCCCCAGCAGATGCTGCAGAGCCTGAGCTCCTCTGAGCAGCTGCAGCGCCAGTTTCACCTCTTCCAGCTCCAGCGGCTTGACAAGCTGCTCTTGGAGCAGGAGGATGAGGAAGAACAGGGCCTGGAAGAAGAGGAGGTAAGAGCAAGGGAAAAGAGCGGGAGAATAGGAGTCCAAAGAAGGGAGCCCAAGAGCCCTTGAAATCCTTCTATCTCTCAGGAGGAAGAGGAGGCTGAGAAAGAACTATTTATCGAAGATCCAAGTCCAACAGTGTCTATACTGGTCCTGTCACCACGCTGCTGGCCGGTCTCCCCACTCTGCTACCTGTACCATCCCAGAAAGTGCCTTCCCACAGAATTCTGTGATGCCCTTGACCGATTCTCCAATTTCTACAGCCAGAGTGAGGAGATAGGGACAGGCAATGGAGATTGGGGTGAGATTCGGGGTGGCAAGAGAGGAAGAGGAGAGGAGGACCTTTGGACAAGAATACATAGATATCGCCCTGGCCGGTTTGGCTCAGCGGTTGGAGTATCCACCTACGGATCAGAGAGTTCTGAGTTCTGGGTTCGGTTCCCACTAGGGGCATGTACAAAAAAAAAAAAAAAGAATACATAGATATGAAGAAACAATCTCTAGGGACAGCAGTCTCCTAGAGAAGGGTGAAGAAGTTTGGGTTAGATTTTCATTAATTTCTCATCCTTTCCTTCAACTTTGTATGAATTGGTTCTATTGTTTTTTCCTAACGTCAGGTTGCATGCTTAGTCTTTTCAGACTTCTTTTTAAATAAAAGTAGTTAAGGCTATTTTCCTCTCAATATTGCTTTAGCTGCATTCTGTAAGATTTGTTTTTGGTATATTTTTTATTAAGGTATAATTAATATTCAGTAAAGTGCACACATCTTAATTATGACTTAATGAATTTTATATCCATATGTATTCTCTTAACCACCCCTACATCAAGATGCAGAACACTTCCAGCACGCAGAAAAACATCCTCCTTTATGTCTCCTTTCTAGTCAGTATCTTCTAAGAAAAACTGTTATTCTTGCCTTTGTCACCATAGGTTTTTGCCTGTATTTGAACATCTTATAAAGGGAATCAGAGAGTATATATTCTGCTGTAATCTGATATCCTTCACTCAACTTAATGTCTGTGGGAGTGATCCAGGTTGTCAGTTGTATCATTGCTTTGTTCTTTTGTACTGCTGAGCCCTGTTCCACTGGAGGAATGTATTTACCCTTTCTGCTGCTGATGGACATTTGGGATGTTGAATGAGTTTTTATTATGTAGTATTCTTATTGTTTAGTTGAGAGAATTTTCTAATTTTCATTCTTATTTCTTCTTTGACTTATTAGTTTTCTATGAGTTGGTATAAAAATTCCCAAGCAGATTTTCTTTGTTTTGTTTGTTTAGTATTCTTTTGGTTTTAGATTTTAACGTTCATTCCATTGTGGCCAAAGAACATGGTTTCTGTGAGATGGACTCTTTGCCATTTATTGAGACTTACTTTATGGCCAAGTAGATAGTCAAATTTTATAAGTGTTCCATGTGTGATTAAGAAGAGTGTGTGGCCCTGGCCAGTTTGGCTCAGTGGTTAGAGCGTCGGCCTGCAGTCCAGAGAGACCCGGGTTCGGTTCCCACTAAGGGCATGTACCTTGGTTGCGGTTTGTCCTTGGCCCTTGATGGTCATGTGGGTGACAGCCACTCAATATGTCTCTTTCACATTGATGTTTCTCTCTCTCTCTCTCTCTCTCTCTCTCTCTCTCTCTCTCTCTCTCTCTCTTCCTTTCTCTCCCTCCCACTCTATCTGAACAAAAAATGGAAAAATGTCTTCAGGTGAGGATAAAAAAAAAAAAAAAGAAGTGTGTTTTTTAGCTGCTGGATACAAGATTATACATCTTTCACTAACTTGACCTTGCTACTTGTATTGTTTAAATTTTCTGTAACCTCGCCCTGGCCAGTTTGGCTCAGCGGTTAGTGCATTGGCCTGCGGTCCTGAGAGACCCGGGTTTGGTTCCCGCTAAGGGCGCGTACCTTGGTTGCAGTTTGTCCCCGGCCCTGGTCGGTCGTGCGGGTGGCAGCCACTCGATGTGTTCCTTTCACATCGATGTTTCTCTCTCTCTCTCTGTTCCTCTCTCTCCCTCCCACTCTACCTGAACAAAAAATGGAAAAATGTCCTCGGGTGAGGATTAAAAATAAATAAATAAATAAATAAATAAAATTAAATTTTCTGTAACCTTACTTATTTTTGTCTACTTGATCTATTACTGAGAGAAGTGTACTCTAATCTACCATTATGATAGTGAATTTTTTAAAAATTATTTTTAAATCTTTGTTGAATGTATTAGAGATGTTCCTCATTTTTCCCCTATTGACCCCCTCCTCTCCACTTCTGCCCCCCTCCTGCCTTTTCCCACACTGTTGTCTGTGTCCATTGGTTATGCATGTAAGTTCTTTGGTTTATTTCTTCCCACCCCCCAACCCCCTTCTCTTTGAGGTTTATCATTCTAGCAACCAATTTGTTCTTCTTAATCCCTTCACCTTTTTCACCCATTCCCCCAACCCCCCTCCCATCTGGCAACCAACAAAATGTTCTCTGTATCTACGAGAATGTTTCTGTTCTGCCTGTTCATTTTGTTTGTAGATTCCATTGTCGATAGATATGTATTTATTGCCATTTTGTTTGTTCATATATTTTATCTTTTTCTTCAAAAAGACCCTTCATCATTTCATATAATAATGGTTTGGTGGTGATGAACTCCTTTAACTTTTTCTTGTCTGGGAAAGTCTTTATATGGCCATCGATTCTAAATGACAGCTTTGCAGGATAGAGTAATCTTGGTTGTAGGTTCTTGCTTTTCATCACTCTGAATATTTCTTGCCACTCCCTTCTGGCCTGCAAAGTTTCTTTTGAGAAATCAGCTGACAGCCTTATGGGAACTCCCTTGTAGGTAACTAACTGCTTTTCTCTTGCTGCTTTTAAGATTCTCTCTTTGTCTTGAACCTTTTGCATTTTGATGATGATGTGTCTTGGTGTGGACCTCTTGGGGTTCATCTTGTTTGGAACTCTCTGTGCTTCCTGGACTTGTATGTCTGTTTCCTTCACCAAATTAGGGAAGTTTTCTGTCATTATTGTTTCAAATAGGTTTTCAACTTCTTGTTCTCTCTCTTCTCCTTCTGGCACCCCCAAGATGCGAATGTTGGCACGCTTAAAGTTGTCCAAGAGGCTCCTTACACTATCCTCATTTTTTTGGATTCTGTTTTCTTTTTGCTGTTCTAATTGGGTGTTTTTTGCTTCCTTAGATTCCAAATCGATGGTTTGCTTCTTGGCTTTACCTACTCCACTATTGAATCTGTGTAAATTATTCTTTATTTCAGTTAGTGCCTCCTTCATTTCTGACTGGTTCTTTTTTATGCTCTTGAGGCCCTCACTAAGTTCGCTGAGGTTCTCACTAAGTTCGCTAAGCATCCTTATAAGCAGTATTTTGAACTCAGCATCTGTTAGGTTGCTTATCCCCATTTCGTTTAGTTCTTTTCCTGGAGATTTTTTCTGTTCTTTCATATGGGACCTGTTTCTTTGTCTCCTCATTTTGGCTGCCTCCCTGTGTTTGTTTCTATGTATTACTTAACGACAGGTATGGGGCTAGCTGCAACCAGATGCTGCTTGTTTGGAAGAATTTAGGAAAACCTGAAGCAGGATCCAAGACAGGCCAATCCTATGGTTAAGCAACTGGCAACAGCTTGGGTGGGCCTGAAAGTTGGGTGGGGCAGGGCCTCAGGGAGTCACCAGGGCGGAGCTACCAGTGTGAGCCAGGTTGCTGGAGTCCCAGATATGGCTTCTGTCTGCCACCCCAGCGAAGGGCTCACCAAAGGAACAAAGACCTCTGACAGCACGTTTGTCCCGGAGAAAGCCCCCTCTCCAGCCCTCGCTCCAGTGCCAAACAGCTCAGTTCTTCCCTGTATGTCTCTGGTGCGCCTCGAGCTGCCTCCCCTCCAAGCTTAGAGGGAGAGAGTCCGTGTAAGTCCATGCACTGGCCCTTTAAGGAGCTGCCTGGGGCGCCAGCCGCCTCAGCCTCCCTGAGCCTCAGTTCCCACTGATTTTTCCAGCCAGAAGTGATGGGGATTTCTCTTCCTGGAACTGGAACCCTGAGCAGGGCGTCTGGTGTGGGACCGGGACCCCTAAGTCCTCAGGGAGGACCTTCCCAGCCGAGGTGTCCTACTAATTTTTATCCGCCACACGTGGTTGTGGGATCAGCCCATCTACCTCCGCCCCTCGCGCCTCCGCCCCTCCTACCAGTCTGGATGTGGCTGCTGCTTTAATTCCCTAGTTGTAGGACTGCCATTCAGCTTGATTTCAGGCGGTTTTGAATGATGGTTGTTCTGTAGTTTAGTTGTAACTTTGATGTGGTTGTGGGAGGACGCGATACCGCGGTTACCTACGCCACCATCTCCACCGGAAGTCCGATAGTGAATTTTTAGACTGTAAATTTTGCTTTATATATTTTGAGTATGTTATTACATACAACTTTAAAATTATTTAACAGTGCTACTAATAGAACTTTCTGCAATGTTGGAAAAAGTGTGCACTGTTCAACATGACAGACATTCGTGGCTGTTGAGTACTTGAAATGTTACTAGTTCGGCTGGGGAAGTAAATATTTAATTTTATTTACTTTAATCAGTTTACAAATATATTTTTATTGACTTTTTCTTTTAAGATAGAGAGGAAGGGAGAGGAGAAGAGAGATAGAAACATTGATGAGAGAGAAACAACAATTGGGTGCCCATAACTAGGTATCGAGCCCAAAACCTGGGCATGTTCCCTGGCCGGGAATTGAACCAGCAGCCTCTCAGTGCATGGGATGATGCTCAATCCCTGAGCCACACCGGCCGGGCTACTTCAACCAGTTTAAATTTAAGTAGGCACATGTAGCTATTGGCTATCACAACGGACTATGCAGATTTAGAATCTATATGGTTAATTTAACTTTGTTATTATGGAGTTTCTTTCTAGTAAAGCTCTTAAAGTCTGTTTTTATCTGGTATTAATACTATACCAGCTTTCATCGGTTAGTATCTTTCTAGTACATCTTTTTCTATCCTTTTACTTTTTGTTTGATTGATAATTCTTTCTTTTTTATTGTGGTAAAATATGCATCACATAAAATTTGCCTTTTTAACCATTCTAAGTGTACAATTTAGTTACCCTTTTACTTAAAAATTTTTTATTTAGAAATAATTTGTAATTTACAAAAAAAATGTAAGATTAATACAAAGAACACCTACATACTCTATCCAAGTTTACCTTTGGTTAACATTTTGCCCATTTTGCTTTTATCATTTCCTCTTTGTCTATATATTCATATATATAAATGTGTATATATGGATATGTATATTTGTGTGTTTATGTGTACATATACACATATATATATGTATGTGTGTATGTGTATATGTGTGTGTGTGTATATATAGTATATATGCTAGTTTTTTGCCCATAAATACTTTCATATATATTTCCTAAGAATAAAGGTATTTTCTTACATAACCATAATTCATTTATCAATTTCAAAAATTTGACATTGGGATAATACTTGAATCTACTTACCATATTCCAATTTTGTCAATTGATTCCATATGTCTTTTCTTTCAGTTTTTTTTTTTTTTGCATTTTATCTTGAGATATAGAGTGGGAGGGAGAGAAGGAGGAAGAGAGAGAGAGAAACATCGATGCGATAGAGACACATCAAGTGGCTGCCACCCACACGAACCCAGGGAAAAACTGCAACCGAGGTACATGCTCTTAGCGGTAACCAAACCCGGGCCTCTCTGGTCCCCGGGCTGACGCTCTAACCGCTGAGCCAAACCGGCCAGGGCTCTTTCAGTTTTTTTAGACTCCTTTAATCTGGAACAATTCCTCAGTGTTTCCTTGTTCTTTATGACATTGATATATATTTGGAGAATACAGTCCTTTTAAATTTTCTGAATAGTTTCTCATTTTAAATGTGTATGGTATTTCCTCATGATTAGATTCAGGTTATGCATTCCTGGCCAGAATACTAAGTAATTAAGTGACAGTATATGCTTCTCAGAGTATCACATTTGGAAGCACACAGTGTTCATCTGTTCCTCTTTTGGGATGTTAATTTTGACAACTTGGTCAAGAGGTTGTGTGAGTTCTCCACTGTATAGTTAATATCCTCTCCCCCCCTCCTTGCTGCTATTAATAAGCAGTGTGTTGGGGGAGATACTTTAAAACTATGCCAATATTCTACTATCATCAGAATTTCCCCCAGTATCATTTTACTTTTAACTTTGCCATACTCTTGTATTTTAGGTGTATGTCTTGTAAATACCTAGAATTTGTTTTGTATTCAACTAATGATCTTTTTGAGTTATCAATTTTAGACTATAATTACTGTGAGTAACCATATATTGGGTTTTTATTCTTAACCTCTTATTTTGTGTTTTAGTTTATCCTTTTCATATTTTAAAATTTCAGTTATTTCATATACAAAACAGAATATGGGTTGGCAAAAGTAGGTTTACAGTTGTGAGTCTGCACAACAGTTTATTTTTGTATTATTATTTATTAATTATTATGTGTTTATATTATAACTGTAAACCTACTTTGCCAACCCCTGTATATAAAACATATAGTTAACGGAAGAATAATAAATTGAACGCCTTTATAGATATGATTATACACTGAGTTTTTTTCTTTTTCTGGATTGATTTTATTATTATTATTATTATTATTATTATTATTATTTTTATTCTCACCTGAGGACGTTTTTCCATTTTTTGTTCAGAGAGAGAGAGAGAGAAACATAGACGTGAAAGGGACACATCGAGTGGCTGCCACCCGCACAACCAACCAGGGCTGGGGACTAACTGCAACTGGGGTACGGGCCCTTAGCGGGAACCGAACCCAGGTCTCTCTGGACCACAGGCCGACACTCTAACCGCTGAGCCAAATCGGCCAGGGCTGGATTGATTTTTTTTTAAAAACTCCTTTTCTGTTTCTATCAGTTTTAGAAGTTCTGCATTCTATTTCTATAGTTGTTTACTCTTATATTTTAACCTGTATGTTTGACTTGTTGATAATATCACTTCCCACCTTCTTGAATAATGAAAGGACCATAGAAAAATCTTAACTCCAATGCTATCATCCTTCTCGCTTGTTACTGTTGTTTGGTATTTTAGAATTGTCTATTTTTAGTCATTATTATTATTGTTTTATTCAGTTAATGTTTAGATATGCCATCATACCAACTGCTTTAGTCACCTTTCCTTTTGCATCTTGATTCTTGTTTTGAGTTCAGTTTTTCCCCTAAAGTTTATCCTTTTTTTTCTCAATTCTCACCTGGGGATATTTTTCTATTTATCATTAGATAGAGTGGGAGAGAGGGAGAGAGAGAAACATTGATGTGAGAGAGACACATCAACTGGTTGCCTCCCACATGACCCAACCAGAACCAGGACGAACTGCAACTGAGGCACGTGCCCTTGACCAGAATCCAACCCTGGACTCATTGGTCTGTGGTCCAATGCTCTAACCACTGAGCTGAGCAAAACCGGCCAGGGCTAAAGTCTGTCCTTTATGTTTCCTGGTTGAGGGAGTATTTGTGGGAAACTATCAGTTTTTATTTGAAAATGGTTTATTATCAGCCCTCACTTGAGGATATATTTCCATTTTTATCTTCAGATAGAGTGGAAAGGAGGAAGAGATAGAGAGAGAAACATTGATGTGAGAGAAACACTGACTGGTTGCCTCCCACACGACGCCAACCGGGGCCGGGGACAAACTGCAACCGAGGTACATGCCCCTGGCTGGAATCGAACCCGCAACTCTTTGGTCTGCGGCTGACACTTCAACTGCTGAGCCAAACTGGCCAGGGCAGGACTGTCTTTTTAAAGTCAAGGATACTATAGTGATTAAACCTTTAGAAGTTAATAATTCCGAATATCATCAAATAGACATTTAGTGTTCGTGTTTCCCTGATTGTCTGGAGTTTTTCAAGTTAGTTTATTTTGTTGTTGTTGTTTATTGAGGATCTAAACAAAGCCCACATGCTGCATTTGATTTAGTTCTGTTTTTCATCTCCTACTCGCCATGGACTCCCTTTTCACCTCCCTCCCTTTTGCGATTGTCTGTGGAGGAAATTGGGTTGTCTGCCAAATAGAGTTGTTGACACGCTGGATTTTGCTGAATGGTGTCCTCTAGCATGTTCCTCTGTCTCCTTTATTTCCTGAACACTGATAATTAGCCGTAGAAGTTCATTTAGATTTGGGTTTGATTTCTTGGGCAGACACACTGCGTAGGTGGTATGGCGTACTTCTCCCAGGAGGTGTGTTACATCTAGCTGTCTCTCTGTAAGACGTATCAGTGGGTTTCAGTGTTGTTAGTCTGATGTACACATTACATATAGTTTCCCATCAACTTTTCACTGGACATTCATTGTCATTGTGTAGGTCTATTATTTCATTAGGGGTTTGAACTAGTGATACTCTAGTTTTGTCATTCCTTCTTCGTGTATTAGCTGGAATGTTTTTTCTGTAAAGAGAAACTTTTCTCATCAACATTTTAGTTCCCTTGAAGTACAGGAAAGGCTTGATTCTTTCCTCCTCCCCTTTAGTTTGAACCAATTTTCAAAATAATGTGTTGGTTCTCTAGTATCCTCCAAAGATGACCAATGAGGTCTTCTAAAAGAATATCATCATTGTGAAGTCATGGATTAAAAAAGAATTTCATGTGCTGCAATCCATCACAGGTGTTATTTTTTTGATGTTCAAATGGTCCCATCTTTGGCCAGAGAGCACCTCCCAGATTGGCCCCTTTTGATACGCTCCCTTTGACAGTGTCCTTGCTTTCTAGTATGAGCAAGCATCCCAGGCGCCCCTTGCCCACGATGAGGAAGAGACCAGCCTAGTGGTCTGTGTAGCTGGCAGCTCCTTAAGGGCAGAACCCACATCTCGTGTTTCTTCCATGGGGCCTGCCTGATGCAGGGCTAGGCCCAGGGCAGGCTCCCAGATGCCTGAGGCTTGCCGGGAGGCAGCCTAGAGGAGGCTGTGCTCTGGAAGCTGTAAATGCTGGGGCCTGGGAGACTACAGGAGCAAACCTTAACTAATAGCACACCCTCGCCTCAACCCCTGACCCTTATTTCCCCTGTTCTCTGTCTCCACCCTTCTCGACACTTTCCCAGGTCAGAACCATCCAGTCCGGGGACCACATCGGCGGCTGCAGTGGACATGGCTGGGCCGGGCCGAGCTGCAGTTTGGGGACCAGACCCTGCATGTATCCACCGTGCAGATGTGGCTGCTGTTGAATTTCAATCAGACAGAGGTGCCTCAGCTCCTCAGCCTCTCTCTGCCTTCTCTTCCCCCTTGGCTGCCACTGTTCTCCTAAACGGTTCTTTCTCCCATTCTTTCTTCCCACTTCTGACTGGCCCTGTTTCTCCTCACCAGGAGGTGTCAGTAGAAACCTTGCTGAAGAATTCTGACCTCACCCCGCAGCTCCTGCTCCAGGCACTTCTGCCCCTCACCTCTGAGAATGGCCCTTTGACCATGCATGAGGGTCAGGACTTTCCACATGGAGGTGGGTCAGTGGGGCTGGCCCGAGACTCTGCTCATAGGGGGTGGGGGGTAGTGTAGTAGGGAATGAGAATGGGGTCCCCTTTCTGTCCCTGCCCCTCCTCGGTCACTAACTGGGAGTGAGTTCCAGGTGTGCTGCGGATTCATGAGCCCGGGCTCCAGCCCTGTGGGGATGCCCTGTGGCTCATACCTCCCCAGAAGTACCTGGATGTAGAGAAGGATAAGGGCCGGACCCTGGAACAGAAGAGGAACCTCTTAAGCTGTCTTCTTGTCCGCATCCTCAAAGCCCATGGGGAGAAGGGCCTCCACATTGATCAGCTGGTTTGTCTGGTAGGCATAGAGGGGGCCATGAAGTTAGGGGAGGGAGGGAGCTGTGCTTGGGGTTGGAGTTAGAGCCAGGGGTCACCATAAGGGAAGCTCAGCTCTTAGTGTCAGACCTTATAGGTTGACATTTCTGTCTGGGTTTTCTGTTCCTGACAGGGGAGTTAGACCAAAAGTAGAGACAAGACATGAGTGTTTACCCTGTGCCAGGTCCTAAATCTAAGAGTTTGCATTATTAAGTCATTTAATCTGCACAACAATTCTGTGAGACAGGTGGTATTATTATTATTATTATTATTCCCATTTGACAGCTGGGCACCGAACCTAGGCAGGCAGGCTGCTCCAGGTAAAAGTGGCCTGCCAGTTTCCTCTCCTCCTGTCCAGGTGCTGGAGGCCTGGCGGAAGGGCCCAAATCCTCCTGGGAGCCTGGGCCGCACTGTTGCTGGGGGCGTGGCCTGTACCAGTACAGATGTCTTCTCTTGCATCCTGCACCTCCTGGGCCAGGGCTATGTGAAACAGCGTGACGACTGGCCCCAGATCCTGGTGTATGCCACCCCAGAGCCCATGGGGCCCTGCCGGGGTCAGGCAGAGATCCCCTTCTGTGGCAACCAAACCATGGAGACCACCAAGCCTAGGTAGCCAGCCCCAACCCCAGCCCCCTGCTGCAGGGACTCCAAGCCAGCAGAGAGAGATGGGCTCCCCATGACAGATGGCACCTTAATAACTTGGGAGGGCCCAGGTTCCCTTGTGGAAAAACACTTCATTTCTTTCCTTCTAACTCCATTTTCTCTTTCCCTGTATTTCCCCCAATTTGGTTGTCCTCGTTCCTCCTCCCAGTACTGTCACCCCTTCTTTTACTTTCTAATCAAGGGCCTTGCTGTCCCCATCCTCTCAGAGTCAGCCCTTAGCCAGGGACCTAGACGTGTAAGCTCCTTTATATTTGTCTCTCATTCTGAGCGAATATGAAATATGCAATGTGCATTGAGTGCTAACTATGTACTCTGCTCAGCGAAATATACAAACTAGTTTTGGGAAGCCTGTTCTGCAGAGGAATTTGCCATAGATGTCCCCTAATTAGCTAAAACTTTTCACATTGGGTCCAGTTCACCAGAAGTTTTTACAGCACCACTTGACGCCTGTCGATTGCAGTGGGTGTACAGTGAGTTCTCTAGTAAGCTGCTCCGACTTGCACATGCGTACACATCACCTGGGATCTGGTTAAACTGCAGATCCTGGTGCAGCTGAGCTGCCTCTGATACCTATGTTGCTGGTTCACAGACCACCCTCTTTCTCACCACATCTGCTGGTAGCATTTTGGGCAGGACTATCCCATCTACTGTAAGTCAGTTAGCATCCTGACCCCTGCGCACTAGGTTCCTGTAGTGCCCTGCAGTCATTGTGACAGCCAGCCCCCTCCCCCCCCCATGCTACTGTGGAGGGCCCTGCTGTGACAGTTTGTGCGGGTGGTTAAGGAAGCATGAGCAGGAGTGTGTGAGCAGGGAGCTGGGGAACAAGGTGGGTTCAGTTAGTAGATTGCGTGAGCAGGGCCGGGAGACTGACCGCTGACTCTTCTCTGCCCCCAAGCCCAGAAGCTGTGGCCGCCCTGGCATCTCTTCAACTGCCTGCAGGCCGTACCATGAGCCCCCAGGAGGTAGAAGGGTTGATGCAGCAGACAGTGCGGCAGGTGCAGGAGACGCTGAACCTGGAGCCAGAGGTGGCTCAGCACCTTCTGGCTCATTCCCACTGGGGTGCTGAACAGCTGCTGCAGAGCTACAGTGATAACCCCCAGCCGCTGCTGCTGGCGGCAGGGCTGCGGGTGCCCCAGTCCCAGGCTGCCCCTGCACGCCCCGATCAGTGCCCTGTCTGTGTCAGTCCCCTGGAGCCCGACGAGGACTTGCCCTCTCTCTGCTGCATGCACTCCTGCTGCAAGGTGAGGCCCCGCAGCTCTCTGCGGCCCCTGGCTTCCTACTGCACACGGTTCCTTGGGACCCACCGGTTCTAGCCCCAGTGCCACCATTGCCTAGCCTGGAATGTGGGACAAGCCTCTCAGACCCTCTTACACAAGTTTTGTCATCTGCCTTGACATTCGGTAGGGTGCTTGTTAGGATCCAGCGTTGTGCATCAGTGGCTCTCACACTGCTGCGTATTATAATCTCTGGGCTTTTAAAGATCCTGATGCTCTGCTGTACCCAGGCCAGTTACACCAGAATCTGTGCAGGGAAACCCGGGCATATGGAGCTTTAAAAGCTCCTCAGGTGATTTCAGTGTCAGCCAAGTTTGAGGACTGCACACACGCACACGCACACGCATACTTCACACACAGTAGACATTAAAGCACTTTGTAAATGAGAAGTGTTACTAAATGGGTGGTGACGATAGTTTATGGTTTCCTTTTCACCATTCAAGTCTTTTTATCTTACAACATCATTACTTCTTTTATATGGGTGAGGCAAAAGTAGGGTTACTGTTCATATGGAAAATAATACACTAATTAATAAATAATAATACAGGAATAGACTGTCTTTTGTGTGCTCACAACTATAAACCTGCTTTTGCCCCACCCTGGTATGCACTCTCATTTAATACAAAAATAATAAGCAGTGTTGCAAACCAGAAAATAGCACAAAAGTCGAAGGGAGTTAGGGGAAGGCAGGGTTTGCAGCGGTAGCGCCAAGCCCAGAAGGCCGAGGCTGGGGAGTGAGCACTTAGCTTCAGAGGTGGGGAGGAGGGGCTGAGGCCAGGGAGGCAGTGCTGAGGGTCTGATATTCCCTGCCTCACAGCTCTTAGCGGGAGCCACGCCCACATACCTCAGCTTAACAGGATGGGCGCCCTTGTTGCCAGGAATTGTCGCCACGCCCACATACCTCAGCTTAACAGGATGGGCGCCCTTGTTGCCAGGAATTGTCGCTGCCTCTCCCAACAGCATCTGCAGTGGTGTGTGATCTGGGACAGGTGCATTGCATGTGTGTGTACTAGCACTTTTTCTCCTTCCCCTTTGCTCGGCTTCCAGGTACTCTTCTCACACAGGTGACTGTGCTCGCTGTTTTCCAGGTTCTTACTGCCTTTCTTGACACTTCTGTTTTTTCATTCAACTAATACGTGTTATGGATTTACTGTGTGTATAGCACTGGGTACTGAATGTGGGAGTGGGAAAGTCCAAGCAAGAAGTGGTAATAACAGCAGCTAGTGGTTATGGGGACTTGCTCTGGGCCCTCGTGCTGTCTCACGTGCGTTCTCTGGCTTGGTTCCCAGCCTAGTTCTCTGCGAGGCAGGGATTTACGGTCCCCATTTTACAGACTGTGGACGAGGCACCGGGAGGAGAAGGAATTGGCCCAGGGTCAAGACTGGATTTGGGCAGTCTCACTCCAGGGCCCTCCCTCCACACACTCTTTGGATAAGTGCAGGGAAGAGCCTACAGTGGGGTGATGTTGGAAGTAACGGGCTAGGAGTGGGCTGCGGGCCTTAGGGACGTTGGACTGGGGAGGTCGGGAAGGCCAGCTGAGGAGGTGATCTCTGGGGGAGAGGGTGGGGGGCAGAGGGAACACGCAGTGAAGCGGTGGGGCGCTGGTAGGAGAGGAGGTTCGGCAGGTGCACGGGGCCTCATTGGGTGGGGATTGGCACACAGTGGGTTTCACTGTAGAGGAAGCCATGGTGGGTTTAAGCAGGGGAGTGATATGATCTGATTTACATTTTTGAAAGGATCACTTTGTGTGGAGAAAATGCTTGGACAGAACAAGAGTGGAAGCAGGGACACCTGCTTGGAGACTTGTACAAACAGGCAAGAGAAGGTGGTGGTTTGGCCTAGGGGCAGAGGGGAAGAGCGGAGTGGGTGGGCTGGGCTGCATTTGGAGGTAGAGCAGGTAGGGCTTGGGGAGTGGATGTGGGGCCTTAGGCCAAGGGAATCAAGGATGATTCCTGGGTTTTTGACCTGAGCATCTGGGTGGATGGGATGTGTCATCTTTTACTGAGTTGTGGGGAATGGCGGGCCTGGGACTGGGGATGGAGAACAGGTTTTTGAGGGGAAATGCAGATTGGAGATTGGCGTGGGGCTGGCAAGTGGACAGTAGGTTTTCGAATTCAGAATTCAGTTGAGAGGCCTGGCTGGTATCACCCAGGGAGAGAGAGGCAGACCCAGGACGTTGAACTTGGGGCACCCCCACCCTATAGAGATGCGGAGACAAGGAGCCTGAAACCACCACTGAGAAACAGGCTGATGGAAGAAGTCCCAGCGGAGGAGGAGCTTATGACTAAGTCACAGCCGCAGGGCACAAATAAAATGTAGAACCCAAGGCAGGGAAATCCTGGGGTCTGGAGCAGTTGGAGGTGGCTTCCCAGGGTGAGCCTTGAGTGGCAGGTGGGATTGTCAGAGGGTGGGAGACCCAGTTCCAGTTGGGCTGGACAGCGGGGACAGCGTGAGCCATGAGCAAGCCCCAAGCAGAGGGGCTCCCGTCAGCCAGGCTGAGTCTGTGGCTGGGAGGGGTCCTGTCGCCTCTGCCTGCAAGTGAGCCATCTGAGTTTGGAGAAATGTTCTGCTTTATCTTGGCAATACAGGAATTTTGCATTCAACATCCCAATTTATCTGGGTTTCTTTAACTATATAAAAAGAGGTTGGTTTTGTTTCATTGAGTACTTTCCTCTGAGTAAAATAGTCCGGTACAGTGCTTCCCATTTATCCTGCAGCTTTGATGCCACGAATACATGTCCTCTCGGGGGGTCAGGCGCGTCATTTTGGAGAGTTCGGCTGGCTGTTGGCAGTGTGAGGGAAGGGGTTGCTCATAGAGTATTTTAGGAGGCTCAGGCTGCTGATCACATGTAAACCAAGTGAATTTGATGGGGAGAAGTGAATTTGAAGGGTGGGAAGGTTATTGAGACCGGCTCCTGCAGCAGTTTAGGAGAAGCCTGGTTTAGTGTGGGGTAGTGACATGGGTGCAAGACAAGTTCAAGAGAAGTGCTGGTTCTGACCCTGGGACTGCAGGGGAGCGCTGGTGCCCTTGATCAGGATTTGGGAGATGCAGTGGGCAAGTCTGTTTTGTGGAGAAGAGGCTGGGTCTGGGGGGATGGAGCCTCCAGACAGGCATTCAGGTGAGCAGATGGAGCCGGGAGGAGAGGCCACCCAGGGGGGAAGGGATCCACCTCCCAGCTTCCTTCCTCTCTAACCTTGCTCTCTCCAATTCTTTCTTAGAACTGAAATCTTTCTTTTAAAAATTCTCTTTACCCACTCCCTCCACGCCCATCCCAACAGGAATTATAATTAGGCTGCTATCCTGGCCTAGATACTCTCAAAGACAACTGTACTTTGGGCCAATCCCAGGAAAATCAATGGAAGCCAGAAAAATTAGGGTCAGTTTTGAGATTGACCTAGAAGCAGGCTCATCTCTGGCCTCTCTGTCATTGGGGAGAGGTGCTAGATGAGTGACCAGGACACCATGTCCTCATGCCGCTCCCCCACTGTCCCTGAGCGCCCCTCCTTTCCCTCCCAGTCTTGCTGGAATGAGTATCTGACAACACGAATCGAGCAGAACCTTGTGATGAATTGCACCTGCCCCATTGCCGACTGCCCTGCCCAGCCCACGGGAGCCTTCATTCGTGCCATCGTCTCCTCGCCAGAGGTCATCTCCAAGGTACCCCCTCCTCTGAAACAGGCTCCGGTGCGCAGCCAGAGGAGTCCCCAGGGAATGGGCTGACATGCAGGGTGCTGAGGGGCCTGGAAGCGCGGCATCCTGGAGAGCCAGGCCCTCACCTGGTGGCACTGTGTCCCCACAGTACGAGAAGGCCCTCCTGCGTGGCTACGTGGAGAGCTGCTCCAACCTGACCTGGTGCACCAACCCTCAGGGCTGTGACCGCATCCTGTGTCGCCAGGGCCTGGGCTGCGGGACCACCTGCTCCAAGTGTGGCTGGGCCTCCTGCTTCAACTGTAGCTTCCCTGAGGTGGGTGCCCACCCTGCCCTGATGCTGAGCAAGGACCCACACCCCTCCCTGCTCAGCACCCCTCGCTGCCACACACACAGATTCTGCCTTGTCTTCATCCTCCGCCACCAAGTTGAGCTCTGTTCCTCCTCCTGTAGACCTCCAGGTGGGACCTCCCTCCCTCTCCCACGCACACCAGCAGAACTGCCACCCTCAGTAAGGGCTGGGCTTCCCCCCCTCTAGGCACACTACCCTGCCAGCTGCGGCCACATGTCTCAGTGGGTTGATGATGGCGGCTACTACGATGGCATGAGTGTGGAGGCCCAGAGCAAGCACCTGGCCAAGCTCATCTCTAAGCGCTGTCCTAGCTGTCAGACTCCCATCGAGAAGAACGAGGGGTGTCTGCAGTAAGCAGGGGTACTGTGGACGCTGGGGGAGTCGGCAGGCAGGGAGAGGGTGGGAGAGGGTAGTGGGAAAGGGCAGTGGGGCTTACCGAAGAGCTGAGCGAGGGCAGTTACTCAGCCACCCTCTCGGCGCCTCCAGAGTGATTCCTGAACCTCATGTTCCTCCTCCACTTTAGTCCACTCTGGATGGGGGGTTCAGAAGCAAGGGTGCATTCAGTAGGAACTGGTACGGCGGGGGACTGAGGGCAGGGAGGGACAGCGTCAGTGGTGCGTCTAGGCCCTGGTGTGGCCCTGGCCAGAGGCAGGATTCCCCTGACCAGCAGCTTCTTCCATAGCATGACCTGTGCCAAATGCAACCATGGATTCTGCTGGCGCTGCCTCAAGTCCTGGAAGCCAAATCACAAAGACTATTACAACTGCTCTGCCATGGTAAGGGCTGGGCACCAAGAGGACGGGGGAGGCCCAAGGGTGGGTGGGGAGGGCCCGCTGCCTGGCCCTGGGCAGAGAGGGCTCTGTGTGCAGAGCAGCGGACAGTTGTTGGGAAAATGGCTCAGTGGGAGAAGACGGAAGCCACCTAGGCCTGCAGGTGCTGGGAGGTCTGTGCACAAGGACCAGAGACCCCAGAGCGGGACTCCTCACACCCAGGTGTCTGTAGGACTGGGGCAGGCTGGCGTTCTCGGGACAGCAGGGAGAAGAGCAAGGACTCTGAGTCAGAGCCTGGCTGCACCACCTAGTGTGCCTTTGGGTCAGTTTACTTGTCCACACCTCAGCCTTCTCATCTGTAGAAGCGGGTAATAATGCGACTTACCACACAGACTTCTGAGGATTAAATGAAAAACTCTGGGCGCCGTGTTGGAAGGCCTCTGAGAATGGTAGCTAGGCTGATGAGCCTCCTGTGTCCTTGCAGGTAAGCAAGGCGGCTCGCCAAGAGAAACGGTTCCAGGACTACAACGAGAGGTGTACTTTCCATCATCAGGCCCGGGTGAGGAGGGCGGAGAGTTGGTTGGTGAGGTCAGGGGCTGGGAGGGCCCAGAGGTCCGAATGGGATGGGTGCCCTTCTGATGGGACGTTGTGCCCGCGCTGGCGCTGACCGCCTTCCCCTGCACAGGAGTTTGCTGTGAGCTTGTGGAACCGAGTATCAGCCATCCACGAAGTGCCCCCGGCCAAATCCTTCACCTTCCTCAGCGATGCCTGCCGGGGACTTGAGCAGGCTCGAAAGGTTGTGGTGGTGGGGGAGGGGAGGGCTATGCCAAGGGCAGCTGGTGGGCTGGGCAGCTGTCCTCTAACCTGTTTGGGTGGAGGGAGCGAGGAGGAAGCAGGTGGGAGGCAGATGCCTGGTCTCAGCTGGGAGAGGCCTGACTCGGACTCCCCCAGGTGCTGGCCTACGCCTGCGTGTACAGCTTCTACAACCAGGACACGGAGCAGATGGATGTAGTGGAGCAGCAGACCGAGAACCTGGAGCTGCACACCAACGCCCTGCAGATCCTTCTCGGTGCGGCCCCCAGCAGCCTGCTCAGTCCTCTCTCCTGCCCCCCTTCCCTCTGAGCATCCTGTCCCATCAAGCGTGTGGGTGAAACGGTGCCCCCACCCCAGCTTCCCACCTTCACTCTGTCCTCTTCCTCATTTTGCAGTCTCGTCACCAGAGGCCTTTTATTTTCATTTACTTATTGTTGTTAATCCTCACCTGAGGATATATTTTCCATTGATAATTAGAGAGTGGGAGGGAGGGAGAAAGAGAGAGAGAGAGAAACATCAATTGGTTGCCTCCCTAACGACCCTGATCAGGGCTGGGGATGGAACCTGCAACCCAGGTGTGTGCCCTTGATCAGGAATCGAACCCAAGACCTTTGGTCCATAGGCCTCTGCTCTAACTGCTGAGCCAAACGAGTCAGGGCACTGTAGATCTTTTAAATATATTTTTATTGACTTTTTTTTTTTTTTTTTAGAAAGGAAGAGAGAGAGAGAAACATTGATGTGAGGGAGAAACATCAGTTGGCTGCCTCCTGCTCGTCCCCCCACTTGGAATCAAGCCCGCAACCCGGGCATGTATCCAGACTGGGAATCAAACCGGGACCTCTCAGTCCATGGGATGATGCTCAATCCACAGAGCAACACTGGCTGGGCCACTGTAGGCCTTTTGACATTCTGCTGTGAAGGTATACAGTGCAGGCTGTACGTGCCTTAGGGCACAGGTCTGCACCTGACTTTTTATTTGATTATGGCCTGTCCCCACCACTAGTGTAAGCCTCTCGAGAATGGGTGCTTAGAGGTGGGCCTGGCAGATGCTGGCAGAACTTGGTGGATGTTCAGTCGGGGTTTGTTGAAGGGAAGGGAGAGGACAGAAGAAGGGAGGGAGCCCCTGCGCTCTGTACCCTCTGCAGAGGAGCTCCTGCTGCAGTGTAGAGACCTGGCCTCGGCCCTGCGCCTCCTGCGGGCCGACTGCCTCCACATGGGCCTGGAGCTGCTGCGGCGGATCCAGGAAAGGCTGCTGGCTATCCTGCAGCACTCCACCCAGGTACGCTGCCCCATGTGCCCGGCACAGCCCCTGCCTGGGGGCACCCACAGGGAAAGGCAGTGAGGTGAACGGATGCTCAGAGACCCCAGTGTGTCCCAGCTCCTAGGCCAGCCTGCTGGATGCTGTGAACCCTGACACTTACTGCTGGCATTTCCTATGAGATAGAGGAGTGAGCCCAGATTCCTGCTCAGCGGAATCACTGGGGAACTTCTTCAGACGTACTTCCCAGGATTGGGGGGTACACTGGAGTCAGGGGTCCCTGAGATTCTTTCCAGCTGTGATATGTTGATGTTGAGCCTGAACTAGGAGTCCTGCCTTCAGGGAGCGTACAGACTGTCACTTGGGCAGAGAAGACATGAACGTACACTGTGAGCTCCTGAAGCACAGGCTGGCGTGCCTGACCGTCGTGTCCCGTGTCCCTGGGGGCACCTCTGAGTTCAGTCCCGCAGACAGTGCTTTGGAGGTGCTGTGGTGAGGGAGGAAGAGCAGTGGGACCGTCCTGCCAGGGGCATGGCACCAGGCAGGCCCTCAGAGGGTGCTGGTGGAAGGGACGCTGGCACACAGGCCAGTGCCTCCACTCCTCCCCGCATCTCCGTCTCCGGCAGGATTTCCGGGTTGGTCTCCAGAGCGCGTCATTGGAGGCCCGGGAGGCCAAAGGGTCCAACATGCCCAGCAGTCAGTGAGTATGGGCCGGCGCAGAGGGGCGTGAGACGTGTCAGGCTTCCTCTGGGCTGAGTGGCGCTCTCTCTCCGTAGGCCCCAGGGCTCCTCCAGGCTGCAGGTGGGTGAGGAGGACGAGGACGAGGACGAGGACGAGGTGCCCGAGTGGCAGCGGGATGAGTTCGATGGGGAGCTGGACAACGACAGCTTCTCCTATGAGGACTACGACGAGGAGTCCGAGAACCTGGACCGAGTCCCTTTCTTCTTTGGTGACGAGGAGGAGGAGGAGGAGGAGGGCTATGACTGAGGGGCAGGATGCGGGAGCGCCTGGAGCCACCTCGGAGCCATGGACCAGGGGCCGGAGTTCACCCTGACCATTGTCGTGGGCGCTCGGAGAGGGTGACTCCCAGCCTCTGCGGCCCCTTCTTCTGTTTACTGAATAAACTGTTCCACATACTTCTCTGAAGCAGGCTGGGCAGCTTCCCCAAAGCCTGCCTCAGCTCCCCCGTGCACCCAGCCCTCCCCCTTCTTTACTTGTCTTTAGACCTCCAGACTCTTCTGTCATCAGAGAAGGCCCAAAGCTGACTCCTCTGACCTAAGCTGATACAGGGACATGAAGGTCCACCCGGTCCAGGGCCAGGTGCAGGCTTGCCCACTTGCCCAGACCCAGCCCAGCGTCAGAGGAGACAGGGAACGGCCACCCCCCACGATCCACCATCCATGATCGGCCTTCCTCTAAGCTCCTGAATGTTTCCGGCAGGGACCTGAGGGCATTAGGAAGTATCCTCCTCTTGGGGCCTACCTACTTTCAAAGGCTTTCTCCACATCCTGAAATGAAGTGGGGTGGGAAGAGGATGTTACTGAGGCCCTGCCCTGCCCACCACACATACAGACATCAAGTTAGAATTTTAAACATACCTTTTAATTTGGTACTGGGGCTTTGGGGCAGGAATGGTATTAGAACAGAGTCTGGAATCAGAAGAGTTGAATAAATGGGGTTGGGTCAGGTGGTTGGGTCAGGGGAGGAAGCCACCTGCTTGGGAGGCTCAGCCTCAGCCTCAAAGTATCGATCCAGCATGGCCTCCACCTCTCCCTCTTCATAGTCCCACACCTGGAACCTCGCGCCATCTGCTGCTCCCCGGATCATGGCCGAAAGCACTGGGAAGGCAGAGGAAGGTGAAGGTGCCTCCCACACTCGCCTCTGTGCTCTTCCCCAGCCCTTGTTGGGGTAGAGCCCCCCAGGAAAGGGAGCTGAAGGCTGGGTCCCCAGAATGCTGAGAAGGGATGAAGGAACCGTCCTGGGCTGGGAGTGCTCACCTCGGCCAGACTGTGGGCGGAACAGGCACAGGATTCGCTTATTGAGGGCGACGGCCCTGCCCAGCTCGTAGCCTACACCCAGGGATGGCTGGGTCACTTCTGCTACAACCACTGGGAAGAAAAATGAGACTGCGCCTCAATATCTGGGCTTGTAGGAGGAAGATGGCAGTGAGTGTGGTGAGGAGGGAGCTCTAGGGAGTCCTAGATGGGGAGGCCAGGCATGCTCAGGGAATCTAGCACCCAGCAGAGCTCACAGGTAGGGGAGAGGGCCACTCACAGTCTGCCTGCTGCAGCCAGGCCAGGTCCTGATCATGGATGAGCCTGTCACCCCCAGCAGCCTCTTCCCCTGTGGTTGAGGAAAAGCTGGTCAAGGCCACGCCCCCACCCTGATCCTCTGCCGGAGCCACCCCCACATCCACCCTGCTTAGGGAGGGAGGGAGACCTGAGGGCCTGCCCAACACCAACAGTCTGTGACAAGGAGTGAGGAAATGGGATAGCCACAAGAAAAACAATCCTGTGCGAGGTGGGATGTGTGATTAGGGCCAGGTGAGTGATACAAATGAGGTGGAGGGAAGAGCTCACTGTGGGGCAGTGATTAGATGGGGAGAGGAAGGAAGAGCATCCCAGGTTGGGGAAATGGCGGGCAGGAGCAAGGACTGGTCCATGCAAAGAAAGGATGCAGGAGGACTGAGGCCTTATGCAGTGGCTCTCAAGCTTTGGTAGGTACCAGAATTGCCTAAGAACTTGATAAAACTACAAAGACCCAGATGTCAGTGGGCCCAGCTGCTTCATGAGCTCTCCAGGTGGTTCATACCCAGCAAAGTTTGAGAACCACTGCCGTAAACGAAGTGACTGTAGGAGGTGGTGGGGACCAACGTAGGAAGGGCATCGTGGGGCAAGAGGTAAGGCTGTGTTCCAGCGTGATTAAGTGTTATTTCGGACTGCGAGGCTCACAGCTACTTGCACCGGAGCAGAATCACTGGAGAACTTGTTAAAAAGAGATTCTAAGGCTTCATCCAAGACCACTCTTAGGAGACTGTATTTTAAACACGCTCCCTCAGACTATGTGCGTACACTAAAGTTTGAGAACCTCCAGGCAGGGGTGGACATACTGTGAAATCAATGACGCATAAGCTTTAGGGTCTCACTCGCACAGGCCCTTTCCAACACCCTAGCAATTTTGTAATTTTTGTCTTTTTAAAGAGTTCTCCCAGGACTGCATTAAGTCCCACAAATCCTGGATCTGCTCCTGGGTAGGGCACGGGGAACCATTTAAAGTTTTCTGAGCAGAACTATAACAGTTTTAGGCATAATTTTCAAACTAGAAGAGTTTGATCAGAACAAATGATCAAAAACATGTTTTAGAAAGATCCAGCACTAACAATGAATTATCTGAAAAAGAAATGAGTGAAATTCCATTTGCAATAGCATCAAAAACAATAAAATACGTCAGAATAAATTTAACCAGAGAGGTGAAAAATCTACACTGAAAACTATGACATCGATAAAAGAAACTGAAGAAGGCACATATAAGTGGAAAGGTATCCCGTGTTCGTGGATTGGAAGAATCAGTATTGTCAAAATATCCATACTACCCAAGGACATCTACTGAGCCAATGTAATCCCTATTAGATTCCGGTGGTATTTCTTACAGAAGTAGAAAAAACAATCCTAAAATTTATGTGGAACCACAAAAGACCCCAAGTAGCCAAAGCATCCTGAGAAAGAACAATTAGGGAGGCATCACACTTCCTGATTTCAAGCTATATTATAAAGCTAAAACAATCAAAACAGCATGATACTGTTATAGGCAGTTAGACATGAGCAGAGCAAGGACGATGGGCCAGGTACAGAAACTCACCAGGGCAGAAAGCCCTGGATACCTAGCCAGGGGCAAAACAGAAAACAAGGACCCCGCCCCCAGGGTAACCTACCTTCATCTAGCATATCACTGACTTCATATCCCTAGTCATGTGGTTTAAACCCTCTGACCTTTTCCTCCCTAAAGATAACATCTAGGCCTCAGTTATATTTCAGTTCCTGGCCCAGAAAAGCAACAAAACCAGACAGGTGACACCATGGTGGCCTCAGGACCAGCTGCATTGACTAAAGAATGACCCCATGCCCTGGCACCGACCAGTCAGTGGACACCACGACCCTGCAAGAGCACACCTGGAAAGCTAATGAATATTCTATTAAGACCCTCCCCTGAGACCTCCCCTAAGATTCCCACCTGCAAGAGAGAGATAAACCCACTCAGGATGAAGGACCCAGTGTGGCTCTCCCCCAGGAAGCACGTCAGCGCCATTCCCTTCCCCCTTCTTCCCTCTAAGGGACCTGGGGAGACTGGCAACCAGGGGAGCAATGGACAGCGGCAGGTCGTCCCAGGATATCCCCCTGAACCTGTCTCCAAGGCCCCCTTTTCTCTGACTTCCCAGTGGGCCGAAGCAGCCCAGCCTTGGCTCTCCTGTTGCTTTCTCTATTCCCTTCCTCTTTTCACTGTCCTAAGCGTGTTTCTGCTGCGGCCAGTAAATTCTTTCTTACTTTGTTACACTTTGTCTCTTGATTGAAATCTTTCCTTCAAGTAGACAAGAACCGAGGTCTCGACACTAACCGTACTGGCATAACAGACGGGTAGACCAATGGAATAGAATGAAGAGCCAGAAATAAAGCCATGCACACACAGTCAACCAACATTTGACAAGGGGGCCAGGAATACTCAATGGAGAAAAGACTCTTCAATAAACGGTGTTGGGAAGACTGGATATTCACATGTGAAATAATGAAACCAGACCCCTATTTTACACCATTCACAAAAATTAACTCGAAGTGGATTAAAGATTTAAAGGTAAGACTGGAAACGATAAAAGTCTTAGACAAAAACACAGGAGAAAGCATCTTGACCTAGATCTTGGAGATAGTTTTTTGGATATGACACCTAAGGCACAAGCAACAAAATAAAAAATAAAACGGGACGACATCAAACTAAAAAGCTTTTTCTGTACATCAAAAGAAATGATCAGCCCTGGTCAGTTTGGCTCAGTGGTAGAGTGTAGGCCCGCGGACCAATGAGTCACGGGTTCGGTTCTGGCCCGGGGCATGTACCTCAGTTGCGATTCATCCGCGGCCCTGGTCGGGTTGTGCGGGAGGCAACCAGTAGATGTGTCCCTCTCACGTCTATGTTTCTCTCTCCCTTTCTCTCCCGCTCTCTCCCTTCCACTCTATCTAAAGATAAATGGAAAAATATCCTCGGGTAAGGATTAAAAAAAAAAAGATTAACAAAACAAAAAGACAACCTACAGAAATGGGGAAAAACATTTGCTAAAGATACCATGTATCTGATAAGGGGTTAATATCCAAAACATAGGGTGGGGCAAAAGTAGGTTTACAGTTGTGAGTACGTGAGTTTATTCTTGTATTATTTATTAATTACTGTATTATTTTCCATACTAACAACTGTAAAATGACTTTTCCCCCACTCTGTGTATTAAACTCATACAACTCAACAGCAAGAACACAAATAATCCAGTTAAAATTGCGGAAGACTTGAATAGACATTTTGCCAAAGAAAATATATGAATGGCCAACAGGTACATAAAAAGGTGCTCAACATCACTAATCATTAGGGAGACACAAATCAAAACAACAATGAGCCCTGGCCATGTAGCTTAGTTGGTTACAGTGTCGGTTCCATATGCCAAGGTTGTGGGTTCAATCCCTAGTCAGAGCACATATAAGAATCAACCAATGAATGCACAAATAAGTGGAACAACAAAGTGATGTTTCTCTCTCTCCCATCCTCTCTCTAAAATCAATACATAAAATAAAAAAATAAAAATAACATTGCCCGGCCGGTGTGGCTCAGTGGTTGAGCATTGACCCGATGCATCAAGAGGTCTTCAGTTTGATTCCCGCTCTGGGCACATGCCCAGGTTGTGGGCCCGATCCCCAGTGGGGGGCATGCAGGAGGCGGCCAATCGATGTTCTCTCTCATCAATATTTCTACCTCTCTCCCTCCCTCTCTCTAAAATCAATAAAGAAAAAAACTTTTTAAGTAAAATAAAAATAACAAATCAAGAAATAAAATATTAATAAACCCACAATAAGATACTACTTCACATCTGTTAGAACGGCTATCAAAAAAAAAAGACAAGAAATAACAAATGCTGGCGAGGAAGTGGTGAAAAGGGAACATTGTGCTTTGTTGGTAGGAATGTAAATTCCACTATGGAGAACAGTATGGAAGTTCCTCAAAAAAATTAAAATTAGAACTACCATATGTTCCAGCAATCCCAATTTTGGAAATATAACTGAAGGAAATAAAGAATCTGGAAGAGATGTCTGCACTCCATGTTCAAAGCAGCATTACTTTGCAATGTTCAAAGCATTACTTACAATAGCCAAGATATGGAAATAACCGAAGTGCCTACGGGTGGGTGAAAAGATAAAGAAGTTGTGGTGTATGTATACAACGGAATACTATTTAGCCACGAGAAAGAAGGAAAGCACCTTTTGGAAAAACAGAGACGGGCTTTCATAGCATTACGCTAAGTGAAATAAGTCAGACGGAGAAAGACAAATAGTGTACCCATTTATATGTGGAATATTAAAAAAAAACAACAACAACCCACAAGCAAACCAGAAAAAAAACAAACTCCTAGCAAAAGAGATCAGATTTGTGGTTACCAGAGGGGGCGGACAGGAGGCGGGACATTGGATGAAGGTAGTCAAAGGGTACCAACTTGCGGTTAGGATGACCATAGTATGGTTATTGGAAAGTTAAGAGAGTAGATCCTAAGCGTTTTTATCACAAGGGAAAACATGTTTTCATGAAGTGATTGATGGATGTTAACTAAACTTATTGGGGCAATCCTTTCACAATATATGAAAGTCAAGTCATTAAGCTGCATACCTTAAACTTATACTGTGCTCTATGTTAATTACAGCTCGATAAAAAGGGGCGGGGGGGCGGGGAGCGGCCGGGAGCAGAGCCGAGTAACAGCCTGACCGGGCGCGCGGGCTCTGAGACCGCGGACACCGGCCGGCCCTGGGGGGCGCAGGTCGGGGAGAAGATGCCAGCGGGGCCCTGGAAGCCCAAGCAGCCCGGCCCGCGCCCATTCTGCCCCTCCGTCCAAACTTCCCTGGAACAAGTGGAGAAAGTTCTCTAAGAAAGAGAGGAACTGCGTGCGGAGCCCGGGCTCACACCGGGCGCTGGCTCGGGCCAACCGCACCGCCCAGGGGAGGGCACTTTCGGTCAAGAAGAGGGGCCGGACCCACCCTCCCGGTCCCGGCAGCCCGCCCCCCGGCCCCCGCGCCCCGCGCCCCGCGGCCTAACCGCACGCGCTCGGGTCCGCGAATGCCACGTGCTCGGTGAGCACGGTGCCGAAGCGCCGCAGCCGCGACACGATCCGCTCGTACAGCGCCCGGTCCTCGCGGCCGCCGCGGATGCTCCCGCAGAAGTACAGGGCCCGGCGGCCCGGCCCGCCCGCCTGCCCCGGGCCCCCGCGCCCCTGCGCGCCCGCCGCCGCCATCCCGCCGCCGCCCTCAGCTTCCCGCGCCAGGGGGCGCTAGCCCGCGCCACGTGACCCCGCCGCCACCTGTGGAGTGGGAGCGAGTGGACGGGATGGGTGACGGCACCCCCGGGTGGGGAAGCCACGGCCTCCTGGACGTCCCTCCAACTTGTCCCGGGGGAACGCTCGATCCTCCCCACCGACGCACTTCTCTCCCCGCTGCCCAGCCAGAAGCAACTCCATCCTCCTCGTTGCTCGGGCCCCAAACCTTATTCTCGACTCTTCTCTTTCTCTCGGACCCTGCGTGCAATCCATCGGCAACCCCTGTGGGCTCTCCCTTCTGACGTTCGCAGCTTCTGACGCCCACCTGCGGCCTCCCGTGCAGCCGCCCTCAGCAGCCTGTCACAGGCTGATGCTCTCGGCAGCCAGAGCGAGCCTGTGAACGCACGGGTTACAGGAGCCTCTGCGCAGACCCTGCTAGCTCCCTTCTCACGTGGGGTAAAAACCAAATCCGCCAGTGGCCCACCAGGCCTGCATGATCGGGTGACTCTCGTCCCTCTGGGGCGGCAGCTCTGATACCCGCACTGACTCTTCCGCAGCCAGGCTGGCCTCCTGGCTTTTCCTCCAGCAGGCAGGCTACTTAGAGCCTTTGCATTTGCTGTTCCCGGGAACCCTTTTGTCCCAGATGTCCCTTTGTCTCTGGATCACGCCCTCACCTTCTCCAAGTCTTTGTTTACCTGCCACCTTCCCTGACCCTCTTCAGTAGGCAGCCTCCTGTCCCCAGGATTCTCTGTCATCCTTCCCTGCCCTGCCTCTTCTCATGTACCATATACTTGATTAATTTTGTTGTATACCTTTCGACACCTGGTAGAATGTAAGTCCCCAGGAGAGCAGGAATTTTTATTCGTTTGGTTCACTGCTATACCCCCAGCTTCTAGATCTGTGCCTGGCACACGGGAAACATTGATCAAATATTTGCTGAATGAAAGAATGGATTAAACAAGTTAACATTTGACAGTACTTTGTAATCTGTTCAGCCTTAGGAAGCTGATCGAAGCGGGATCTTCAGGGAGACAGGCCAACACACCACTGGTCACCAGTAATAATAATGATTGCCCCCTCACAGTATCATAAAAACAACACAAATATAGGACAAACATTTTAAATGGAACAAGAGAGCATGCAATGGGAAGTGAGTCCTGAAACCCCAATCTCATTCCCCAGAGGAAAGCACCGTTGGAGTTTCTTCTAAATGATAAAGATTAAACTATCAAAGTATAGAATTCCAGAGCAGGCATAATAATAATATTTTAAAATGCAAAGACACAAAGAAAAGGCAAAGAGATTTCAGGATATGTCTGTCCACTGATAGGTGCAGCCACAGATACTCGGACCATGGGGCACCCTCACACACATACACCTTTGGGAAGGAAGCCTCATGTGCTAGATGACTTGATGGACAACCTCCTTCACTCTCGTTATCTAAACTCACGCTTCCCCTCCAGTTCCTCCACAGGGGAGGAACACACATGCACACGTGCACACAGAGCATCTTGTGTCTGTCTCTGTGTCTTAAAGAAAATAAGCCAGCTTCCATCGCCTTAGGGCCTACACCTCTGGTGTAGCTCGCATCCATCCCCCTTCCGTCTCAGGCTGAATGAGAAAGAGTAGAAGGGATATTTTGCCTGTTTCTCCAGATGGGAGACAACTCCCTGAGACTGGTTCTATACCCTGTTAGTTGGTGAGGACGCAGAGCTGGCCATGGCTGGCAGCTCAGACCTCTGGGCTCAATGCAGAGAGGCCCGAGTTGGGGCAACGGGGCGCCAAGTGATGCCATGGGGAACTGAGGACAGTGGGCAGTCCAGTGAGGCAGCTGATGGGGGAAAATAGTTCACCCGGTGCCAGGAGGCCAGAATTGAATCCCAATTCAGTTACTAATTAGCTCTGTGACCTGGGTCAGGTCCCTTAAGCCCTCCGAGTCTCAGTTTCCTCATTCACAAAATCGGTGAAAAATGTTATCCCGCCTTACTCACCTGGTGTATGCAAGCACTTTACAAAACACAAAGTGCTACACAAATGTAAGTCATTGTTCAAGTGAACAAAATTGTTTTCATTATGAAAAATGTCAAATGCATACTAAACAGCAAGAATATCAGAAGACTACATATTGTATGATTCCATTTTTTTTAAAACCTTTTTTTTTTAAATTGATTTCAGGGAGAGAGGAAGGGAGAGGGAGAGAAAGATAGAAACATCCATGAAAGAGAACATCGACTGGCTGCCTCCTGCATGCCCCCCACTGGGGATTTGGCCCTCAACCTGGAATTGAACTGGCGACCTCTTAGTGCCTGGGTCGATGCTCAACCTCTGAGCCACTCCAGCAGGGCTATATGATTCCATTTAAAAGAAATGTCCAGCCCTGGCCAGTTTTGCTCAGTGGTTAGAGTGTCAGCCCACGGACCAATGAGTCGCGGGTTCCATTCCGGTCAAGGGCATGTACCTCGGTTGCGGTTCATCCCTGGCCCTGGTCTGGTTGTGTGGGAGACAACCAGTCAATGTGTCTCTCTCACATCAATGTTTCTCCCTCCCCCCCCCTCCCACACACACACTTTATCTGAAGATAAATGAAAATATATCCTCGGGTGAGGGTTAAAAAAAAAAAGAAAAGAAATGTCCAGAACAGACATCTCTATTTAGAGAGACAGAAAGCAGACCAGTAGAGGCTGGGGTGGGAGTGGGCACTGACTGCAGAGGGCTCAAGGAAAACGTCTAAGGGTGATAGAAATGTTCTAAAACTGGATTGTAGTCATGATGCACAAGTCTAGAAATTTACAGAACGTTATTAAATTGTACACTTACAGTTGGTGAATTTTATTGGTAGGTAAGTTATATCTCATAAAGCTGTTTTTAAAGTAGCAAAAATAAAGTACGGAGATTAGTAAATAGTATAATAAGATTCAACAATTTTCAGTTTATGGCCAATCTTGTTTCATCTATATCTGTATTTACTAATAAGATTTTTAAAAAATGTTTTATTTATGATTTTAGAGAACAAGAAAGTGAGGGAAGGAGGAAGAGAGGGAGAGATTTGTTGTCCCATTTATGTATGCATTCATTGGTTGATTCTTGTATGTGCCCTGACTGGGGATTTAACTTGAAAACTTAGTGTATCAGGACAATGTTCTAACCAACTGAGCTACCAGCCAGGACCACTAGCAAGACTTTATTTTGTTGTTGGTTTTTATCCTCATCCAAGGACATTTTCCCATTTTTTGTTCAGATAGAGTGGGAGGGAGAGAGAGGAAGAGAGAGAGAGAGAGAGAGAGAGAGAGAGAGAGAGAGAGAAACATTGACGTGAAAGGGACACATCGAGTGGATGCCGCCCTCACAACCCAACCAGCGCTGGGGACAAACTGCAACTGAGGTATGTGCCCTTAGCGGGAACCGAACCCGGTCTCTCTGGACTGCAGGCCGATGCTCTAACCACTGAGCCAAACCAGCCAGGGCAACAAGACTTTATTTATTTTTATTTTTAATTCGTTTTATCCTCACCCGAGGACATTTTTCCATTTTTTGTTCAGGTGGAGCGGGAGGGAGAGAGAGGAACACAGAGAGAGAGAGAAACATAGACGTGAAAGGGTCACATTGAGTGGCTGCCACCTGCACGACCAACCAGGGCCAGGGCCAAACTGCAACTGAGGTACCCGCCCTTAGTGGGAACCAAACCCCGGTCTCTCTGGACCGCAGGCCGACGCTCTTACCGCTGAGCCAAACCGACCAGGGCAAACAACAAGACTTTTTAACATAATCAAATGTTCCATCAGTGTTCAAATCGCCAATTATTATTTTTTTATTAAAAAAATTTTTTTTCCTTGATTTTTTTAGAGAGAGAGGAAGTGATAGGGACAGAAACATCGATGAGAGAGATCACTGACTGGCCGCCTCCTGCATGCCCCCCACTGGGGATCGGGCCCACAACCTGGGCATGTGCTCTGACCAGGAATCAAACCAGTGAACTTTTGGTACATAGGTCGATGCTCAACCAGTGAGCACCGGCCGGGCTCAAATCGTCAATTGTTTTAGAAATATTATAAATGTTTCTTACAATTTATTTTTTTAAGAAGAGGAATCACAGAAATTCCATGTATTGTGATTGGTGGACATGTCTTTTAACTCCCTTTTTATCGCCATGTTCCCCTGCATGTCCACTCCTCTCCCCTCATTCTTCCTGCAGTTTTCTCCAGTCTGGAGGTGGCTGATTATATATCTATGGTGTCATTTGATGTGCTCCTCTAGATCTAGAGGTTCAATCAGATTCAGGTGCAGTTTTGGGCAAGACTCCTTCACAGGTGGTGGTGTGTGATCCCTTCTTGGGCACAGTGTCTGGCTGCCTCTCTCTTTTGATGTTAACAACCATTGATGCTCAATGCCCAGGTCCATCCATCGTTCATTCAGGGGACATACCAATAACAATATTTTTATTATAAGATAAAATCCATCCGCTGAAAACCACCATAAAGCAAATACATTATCATAAGACAAACACTCTTGTTTTTTTTTTTTTAAATCCTCATCCGAGGACATTTTTCCATTCTTTGTACAGACAGAGTGGGAGGGAGAGAGAGGAAGAGAGAGAGAGGGAAACATCGATGTGAAAGGGACACATCGAGTGGCTGCCACCTGCACACCAACCAGGGCACGACCAACCAGGGCCGGGGACAAACTGCAACCGAGGTAGGTGCCCTTAGTGGGAACCGAACCCGGGTCTCTCCGGACCGCAGGCCGACGCTCTAACCGCTGAGCCAAACCGGCCAGGGCAAGACAAACACTCTTGCAACCACCACTTGTGTTAAGACCTTCAGCCACCCGAAGTTTCCATGTGTCCCATCCCAATCACAGCCCTCTTACGCCCTCCAACAGTAACCACTGCCCTTGCTTTTATAGTAAGGCTAAAAATAACAAACCGACTTCCTTAAGCTGCTCGATGATTTTATTTCTTTGTTATTTATTTATTTTATCCT